CCAACTTACAGGTAATTCATCTTTACCATTCCAGATGCCAGTTACTTGTCTCTGTTGCATGACTTGTTTAATGTTTAACAGCGCAGGGAGCGCGGTGCATCCTGCATTGATACTGCAATTGAACAAATTCAATTGAGTATTTGTGAATTGCGTTTCAGTTAACTTCTTTTTTATTCCAAGCAAACGAAAAACACAAGTACCAAACAGAAAGGGGGCTGTCAACGCTTAAGCCCAATAACGTGCATGCTTCCTTGGTGAAAACGTCATGTATTTCGAGCCATAAAGTTGGATCTAATAAGTGACTGTAAGGGGACGATTGAATTCCATGTGGCAAGTAAAGCAACGTTCCCATTAAAGATTGTACTTCTTTCTCGTAACGTCCGACAAACTGTGTGAGATTTTGACGAGCATATAGTATCGCTTCCCTTTGTTTGCTAGGACCTTGTTGAACTAATCTTATAAAATGTAATCTGTGTAATTTAAACTCGAGAGAAGAATTCTAGAAAAAAATTAGGTATATAATATTGCATATATGTGAATAATATGAAATAACTTGCACATTTTTATGAGTTAAGAATACCTGTGCCAAAAGTGCTTCTCTATGTTTTTTAGCCCACTCTAACGCTGGTTCGAGATTTTTCTGTTTTAAACAATCTAGTATATAGTTTAATTCTGTGAAAGGTTCTTTTCTACCCTCGTCAGTTTTAATTCCTGCTTCCTGAAAATGATTATAGTACGATGGGCATAATAGTTCAGTTTGTAATAGTACATTGTATATGTTAAGTTATAAATTGCACTTAAATATATAACAACTTTGTATTCGGTAGATTTTATGAAATACAAAAATTTTGTAGGAGAAACTTACTGCTGCTAATTCATCAGCAATGTCTAACATTCCTTGACGATAAAAATGTTGACAAATTACTTGATTCAGAAGATGAGATTTCTCGGGTCCAGAAAATACATCTTCTCTGCTAGTACTTGCAAAATCGGCAATGAAATTTCTATCTATTGCCTTACCCACTTTGGATACTGTACTATGCAAATCACGATGATCCGTTGCCAATCTTTGTACAGTATCACGTACTTTTGTCATCGCTTGTTTTAACACTTGAACTTGACTAGTTGTTAATTCCTGATTAGATGGTGCTAATAAAGGAAAACGAATGAGTTTTTTTAGAATACATATCCAAATACTTGTATTGTGCGCCAATAGCTTTGTGTATTGGTTAGAATACTTCCAAAATAACTACACACTATAAACACATATATTAATAAATAAAGATCTATCTATCAAAAAGTTAATTTAATCAATTATAAATATAAAAAAATATAAGCCCTCTGACTCACGAAATTTGTCTACTAAACATTTCAAAGATCAAGATCAAAGACGGACGTCTCGAACAAGTTTTACAATTCCGTTAATCCATCTTGTTTACCTTCTTCTAGATCTTTTTTCAAGGATTGAATATGATTTATTAAATCACGTAACACTGTCTCAGCATGTTCATTTATAGCACCAAATTTCGATAAAACTTTGTCCACTTCACGTTCAACAGCATTACAGGCCTCCATTATTATTGTGTTATTTCTGATGATTGACATTTCCACAGATTGCGATTTTAGCGACTGTGGCGGTTCATAGCGGATTAATTGAAACTAAAAGAATTGTCTGACTAGATATTGAGATGCACTACTAGAAACGCCTAATCGCGTCAAAATGAAAGAGCATAATACTCTACATATATTATATATATAACATATTATGGCCGGTATTCATAGTCCGTTCTTATATTTAAGATTGTCTTAAGTTTTGTCTTAAAATGCTACGAACCAATCAAAAAGCCATATTAGTATCTTAAGACGACGATGACGACGACTTAAGACGATCTTAAATATAAGAAATGACTATGAATACCGGCCTATATGTATAATAAATATAAGGACGTCTAAAAAGACGTCCAAAAAACGTCCTAAATAAAATATTTTTAGGACGTCCTAAAAATGAAATCTTAAGCTCCTATGAAATAAAATAATTCCAAAAATTGCTTTTCCTAATATTTAATATTTATTTTTATTCCCAATATTTTCTATTATGCGTTTTTGTTACAAAATTCAAAATGTTAGCCAATTGTTAAAGAAATTTAAAAAATGTCTTTTTTAAGACGTTTTCAGGACGACCTAAAAAAATTTGCTAAAATTGAGCAAGTAATACGAGTCAACAATAACGATTTGATGCAAAATTATACTACGGAAAAGATGGTTAATATATTTAATTTTAATTATTTTTTTTTGGAACATCAATGAGAGAGAGAGAAAGACTTACTTTATAACAGAATTGAGATGTTTTTTAATTACAATAATACCATTAGATAAACAGTATTAATACACATACTTTAATGGTATGCATCTATCATACAGACAGTTATAAATATATATATGGAAATTTTTACATTTTGAGTAATAATAAGATATTTTACATAAAATTTTCAATAATTACAACTGAATTATAATCATACATTCATAACATTATATTTAAAGTAATTATATTTTACACTATTTTTATAATTATACATCTGTAGAAATTATATACGTCACTGAACAGATGTATTTAAAATTAAAAGTTTCCATTCAGTATTCATACATATATTAGAATGTTCAGCAAATTATCCGGTAAGAAGATTGCCCTGAAAAAAAGTAACACATGAATTTAATTTCTAAACAATATATACGATGTATAACTATCTTTAAATTTTTTAATGTGGTTTCTTTATGATAATAATAAATTAATTTAGTTGATCAAATTATAACGTAATAACTATTTTCATTTCCAATATTAATCACTTACCCATTCTCGAGCCATAACTGCCACTGTTACATTATCTAACTTTGGTCCAATCAATGGATTCATCTGTGCCATGTAGCAACATAACCAGCTATTAACAAATTTACATTATATTAATATACAAATTAAGATATTAGAGTGTTGAATATGTGTAGAATAAAGAAGATTATATACTTACAACAACCAACACGTGAAACCCGTCAGTATCAACAAAACTTGCATTATCCTGTGAAAATATATTCATACACTTAAAACAAGATCACAAATAGCTTTAGCAAATACTGTTTTGTCTCAAGCGTCCTAAAATTTATTGAAATATTCTATTTTATTCTATTCTACTTAAAAAATATCATACTTTTGTTATTGTCAAATTAGGAGGATTCCAACATCACAAGACATTTATGTAAATCATAATTGATAATTTAAGAAAATTTATCAATAAAACTGCAGCGATACAAAACAGATAAAGACATTAAAACCTACATACCCACGGTTTGGTCCCTTGGGAACGAAAAGTGGTAAGGCTATTCCTAAGAACAATACAACACCCCAGAGGAGCGTGAAAGCTATTACAGGTAATGCAGATGCGCCCATTTTTTTATTTTTATTATATTCTCTTTTCAAATTCACAAATAAACACAAAACTAAGGAACCATTCACGTTATCGCGCACGAATTGCTGTGAGCCGTCGAAAAACTGGGAGGATCACATGAGAGTACCTTCGCCTGATTCACGTGACATATCGATTCGACTCAACCTCTTCTAAAAGAACCGCTGGCCGGTTCTCATATAATTATCCTTCCTGCAATGGATCACGTGAGAAATGTACCGTACATTTGCAAACTGGACGTAAAATCTGCAGGGAATTTCTTTTTTCATATTGGTAATTCTGAATCCAAAGCTTGTTCGATTTTCCCCACGAGATCTTCAATGTCCACGTCGAACTCTACGACGTATATAGATATTTTTATGTTTAAAGATGTAAGAAAGAATAACGTTTATCATAAATGATCTGAAAGGTCAAACAGCACTTATGATGCCAACTTACGTTTTTCAAAGTTTTATGATCTTGGTGAAAATTAAATAACGCGTATTGCCGCATATTAATCGTACGAAATGTTTTTCATTTATTTTTCGCACTTGATTATATCGAATAACCTCGAAATGGGATATGACATTTGACCACATTACATGTTTTGATGTGACAATTGGTGAGTAATAAGTGTAGCGGGTTGAGTGTACTGCCGTGCTAGGGCGGAACAACTGATAAGCCATTACGCAGCCAGCGTATCGAGATATTTTACAGGAATTGTTGAATGAAACATTAGTCAAGATGAAGAAAAAGGTAGAAAGCATTTTTCTTTGTTGAGAAAATACAGCGAAGATATATTAATTTTACACTAGTTTTTATACGAATAAAAATATTTCTTTGTTATATGCATCTCAAACTATGTGATTAATACATTCTTATATTTTTTTCAGGTATTGTTGATGGGAAAAAGTGGGTCTGGAAAGACTAGTATGCGCAGCATTATTTTTGCGAATTATATAGCCCGAGATACTCATCGTCTAGGAGCAACAAGTAAACTACATATATATTACATTAAATAATTATATTTTTTGTAGATGATTTACACTAATATAATGAATTTATCATAGTTGATGTTGAACATTCCCATGTTCGCTTTCTGGGCAACTTGGTACTAAATTTATGGGATTGTGGAGGCCAAGAAGCATTTATGGAGAACTATTTTGCATCGCAGCGTGATAACATATTTAGGAATGTAGAGGTGTTGATTTATGTCTTTGATGTGGAATCAAGAGAATTGGACAAGGATATGCATTATTACCAAAGCTGTTTAGAAGCAATACTGCAGAATAGCCCAGAGGCCAAGATATTTTGCTTAGTTCACAAAATGGATCTTGTACAAGAGGACCAACGAGATTACATATTTAGGGAAAGGGAGGAAGATCTGAAAAGACTGAGTTTACCTCTAGAATGCACTTGTTTTAGAACCAGCATATGGGACGAGACATTATATAGGTATATATTGCACGAGAGAATATTTCAAATGTTAGAAAGAATACTAAATTATTATCATTGTAGGGCGTGGTCATCCATTGTATATATGTTGATTCCCAATGTGAAAGAACTTGAGCAAAGCTTGAATCAGTTTGCAAATATTATTGATGCTGATGAAGTTCTTCTGTTTGAAAGAGCCACCTTTTTAGTAATAAGTCATTGTCAGCGGCAGTTTCATAGAGATGTGCATCGTTTCGAAAAAGTTTCCAATATAATAAAGCAATTTAAATTGAGTTGCAGGTAGGCATAAAATAGTGCGTAGAGTTTAATTTAAAAAAAAAAAAACAAGAATGAGATTGAGGTTGCATTAATCTTTCAGTAAACTAGCTGCGCAGTTTCAAAGCATGGAAGTTAGAAATACTAATTTTGCGGCCTTTATCGATATATTCACATCGAATACGTACGTAATGGTCATCATGTCTGATCCAACTATACGTAAGTACTTAAAATTTATACGAGTTTAATTGATAAATATGATATTTATGTACCTAAAACTAAATGCTAAAATATATGTGTTCTTTTAGCATCTGCAGCAACATTAATCAATATACGTAATGCGCGAAAGCACTTTGAAAAATTGGAGCGCGCAAGCCAGAGTTCGGCATTAAGTAGATAGAAGTCGGCGCGACCCAGGCGCCTCGTCACCCGGGTCCAACCTATTAATAACTGTTGAAATTTATATTGAAGTTCGAGTTAAAAAAATTATAAGTAAATTTGGTGGAAATTTACATATAGAAAAATCGAAACTCTGCTTTATATCGTTAGGATAATATGTGACTGCGACGATACGATTGTTTATTGATGACATTTAGTCACAAAGTACTCTAATATACGACTTTCATCATGAGCGTTTATGACAAAATAAATGTATAATTGACGTATCCGAGAGAGGCTGACGATCATCGATATTTCAGATCATTTATTAGGTTCATCATAAATTTGTCATTCATAATGTACGTGTATGTAACATGATCGTAATGCGTTTGCAATTTATTAATAGAATACCTCTTGTACATGCGCTATTCTTTTGCTTTATTTCGAATTGTATTTTCGATTAAAGGATTGTTCGTAATCCGAATTAGTTGCAATAATATCCAACGAATGTTAGTAATAAATAAATCATTTGCAGCCCTAATCTTTTCTTGTATTTGTATAGATTACTATAAAATATACATTAGAATATAATATAATGTAAGACTGAATGTTTACTCGAGAATTACATATAATAAGTCTACGGTCATTCTAGATTCATTTCCATAGTCGTACTTAATTTATCAATTAGGCATGCAGAATTTGGATATATGAGAAACTAAATTTGTTAACATAAAAAATTACTGATAGAAAAATAAGTCAATTTAATATTTTAATTAAACACAAATTTTGTAATAATATAACGTTTTATTACACAAATAATAGGTTTGGATTGCTATGTACTTGTATGTGGGTATATAATTATTTTTAATAATAGGTACAAATCTATGGATTAAAAATTAAACTTTACATTTTGAAAATTGTGTTCTATATGACGCATTAGATATTACATCAGCTGCTTATATATCCAACATTGATTAATAATATAAGAAGGCACAATGTGGCATATATTTCTAAGATACGTATATCTAAAATAAAGATGTGTCTATACTCACTAATGAGTTTAATTAATAATAACCATATTAAGCAATTAAAAATTTTTGTTGATTCTAATGACGCACATTGCTAGTATTTTTAGAAGAAATATTAATTCTTTGGAGAAATACTATTTCTTCTCTTTGTTCTTTTCCAATCATCTGTACATATTTAGCACTTATTTATTAATACTAAATATACGAATTAGATATATGTATCCAATAAAATATGTTTTGTAAATTTTCTTATAAATTTATCCATCATATTTGTACATAATTAGAAAGATCTTTTAGTTCTTTATATATATATGTATATATATATTGTTTAGAAATATTTCTAAGGATATTTCTGTAGATTTTTCTATAATTGATAATAGTCGAACTGTTATTGGCTTTCAAAAATATCATTCCGTAACATTATCGTGTTGTGTTGTAATGTAGTTATCTTCATCGGACGAGTGGAGAATAAAATTTAGGCTGTAAAAAAAAAAATTAGACATTTTAATTTTATATTATATATAAAAATAGCAATTATGTTATAACACATGAAAAAATAGTTTATTATGGTTTAATTATTATTGATTTGCAGATAAGTCCGACATGTGCATGGATAAACTATATATTTGAATTGGGTATCAATTTTTGTCAAAAAAAGGAATTACCAAATTAATTACCTCGTCATGATTTTCCTCCTTATTTGCTTCATCATCATCTCCAGAGCTGTCGCCTCCTGAACTATCGGCAGAATTACGTTGCTGATCTTTATTATTTAAGCTATTCACACCAGGTACGGGAATAGCTTTAACTTTACTAGCAGCATCATAGCATTGTAAACACACCCTGACGGCCTTTCCATTGCCCTGTCCAGGCAGCAATAATTTTTTATTACTGCAAGGACCGCAGACTACCGCTCCGCATTGCCTACAGTGATGCTAGAATGTAGAATAATTATTTTAGTTTCCAACAATTATTTAAATTTTAATTAAACTGTATAAAATAAAAGATTGATAAAATATAATATCTTAATTACCCGTCTGTTCAATACTGTGAATTGTGTTTTATTACAATGCATGCAAATTGTAGCTTCATTATCTGGTACCCAAACTGCTGCGTGGACTTCAACAGGTTTTTTGCCACCTATAAAACATAAGAATAGATTACAATGAGAGAAATTAGTCGTACATCTATAGAATTACAAAATTTATAATTTTGCACTTTACGTATATTTATAATACTTTGATTCTTACTTACTTTTTCTTAATAAATCTTCAATACACTTTGTGATATGTGCCATCCATTCTTGTTTTTCTGTTGCGGTAGCAGCATAAACAGCAAACGACTTTGTTACTGTCTTAATGAGCCATCCATTACGATATTCTATAAATAATGATCCAATACTATACTAACATTTTCTAGGTATGGTCTCATTTGAATAGTAATCCATACACTATGTAATAATGAAAAATGCTCTGCTTATAATGTAGCAAGTGCAAGAATTTAACCTTCAAAGAGGATTATGAAATGTTATAACATTTTGAAATCAGCATTATGAAATAAGTTGTGCGAAAAACATATATTAGATTATTTGGAAGCCTTTTGAGATTTTTAACTTCAAAAAACTTTTCAAAATAATTTAACATTTTCTTCGAAAGTGAATTCTTTTAAAAAAGTCCTGTAGTCTTCCAAAGGTTAATAAATAGCTTGCATACATGACAAAAATAATGAAATAATAATTAAACAATAAATTATATTTAAAATATATTACACAATATACTTTGTAATCAATTTCTCTCTTTCTGTGTGCTTGTGTGTGTCCGTGTGTACACATATACATCATTTGAAAACTTGGTGTTAAAAGCAAACAATGATGATAAGCTAATGATGATATAATTGGTTTTTTACATATACTTAACATGTTGACTGCTCAGTAAATTTCATATGTTTTACCATAAAATTTTCTTTATCACAAGCATATAATGATAAAATATCCTTATCCATAGTGTTTATCTCACTGGTGGTCACCGGTGACCACCAAGGCATTCAATTTAAAGCAAAATAATCAACATGTTAAGGTTCTTGAAACTTCAAAATACTCCGTATAACAGTGATGTAAATAGCTGATAAATAAACTTATATATAAATATATTAAAATAATATACTTACGACCCTCATCGGCTAGAGACTCTAATTTTACCTCCTCCAACGGTATTATATGTTGTTTGTTGTACTATAAACAAATTACTAATATTACTATTAATAGTACCACCACTATCACTTTATTTAAACTTTATCTACAATTTTTCTTACACGAACTATATTATCAGCTTTGCGCGAAATAAAAATTTCTCCTTTACATACCTTTTTCTTATTAATCATGATATTCCCATAGACCAATATATCATTGAACAGAAAGAATTGTCTGGGTTTGGGCTTTTTCCTGCACATTTTTGTCAAGACACCTTCTCCCACCAAAACTCTGCCTGGCACAGCGAGCGGCTATCAAGATGAGAATATTCATAAGTGAGTCATCAATATTACTATAGTTAGATACAAATGTTCACTAGTCGGCAAACACTAAATCGTGTGATGATCTACAGAAAAATTTGCATACACAACTTATCTCGCGTCAATCTCGCTTACCTGACCCGACCCGCCAAAGCAATTCTCAACCATCGCGATACGCCTGGCATTGGCCTCGCTGTTTACTGCAACAAATCAAATCACGGAGAGATTAATACGAATATGCAATTGTCACTCGCAACACACCCACATCTTCGAGCGAGGACGATGTATGCCAAGGATCGTCCTACCGAAGCGTTCTCCCGAGTTACACTTTTCGTACTTTTTTTTTATTCTCTCTTTTTTTTTGTAAGCAACGCTTGAACGCATATATACGCACACATCTCATTTTTAGTATGGAAAGTGTAATTGTAGTGCAGCTAAATAGAGCGGATCTATCGTCGGCGCTTCGGAACTGTCAAAAACAGTCCACTTAGTTCATGGACCGTTATATCTGCGCGCAAATTGCACGAATGCGTGGAACAAACGGCCGCGCGATACATATTTATTCGTTACGATCGCGAAACGCGTGTGCTTCTTCGAATCACTCACAGCTTCTAGCAGCTTCGTTTTTTTTTTTAAATACACAATATTAATTAAATGCTAATAAGTGGAGCACGAACTAACCCAATCGGTCGACCATGATCCAATGAATCAGGGCTGACAACAGCAGGAAGCATGAATCATATCTATGCCACGCTCGCTCACTCTGCCATTTATCCGTGCGACTCGCGCTTATCATTCGCTGCGCTGATGTCCGAAGTTAGCGCCCGCTGGCGTTAGATAGCAGTAGTTCATTCACCTGTTTACAATGAAACGCCCATTTTTGGGCGTTATTTTCATGTGCGTATGCACTGAGCATTGAAACGCGACCTATCAATAGCACTCAACGTCACATGATTACAAATTATTCTGCTGTGTCTCCGTTGCAGATGATCGGATTGTCAAGGGTGTTGCAGCCACATTACCTAGGACACCTGTTTGTGCTTGCAGCTGATTTACGAGTATTCACGCGAGCAGCGGATGAGTCGCAGTTAGGTTAAATTTCATTACTCTGTGCGGACGATTTTATCATTGAAGATGAAAATCTGTGGACCCAAGTACGCCTTGTGCGGTTTAGTGTTGTCCGTTTGGGGCATATTTCAACTGGTAAGAAAGATTATTCTGTCACTTTGTTTTAAGTAAGAAAAGCTCTCAGGCATCTAAGCTAATTCTTTCTTGCTTTTAGCTTCTCATGGGGATATTTTTCTATGTCCGGAGTGTAGCCCTAGTGGAGGATCTTCCATTGGGAGAGAAAAACTTCACTTCATTCGATCAGTTCTACGATCTAGTAGACCGTGGTTATACACAAAATGCGTACAACTGCTGGATCGCTGCATGCATTTATGTTCTAACCTTCCTCTTCTCGGGTCATCAGTTCTATCTCAATTCCAGATCGTCTCTTAGCGTATAAGCAAACGTGATAAATTTAGAGATGCTGTATTAACATCTTTATAATTCCATACAGCTGCAAAATGTTAGAATTTTAACTGTATGGCTGTATCATATAACTACTGTATAATTGTATTATATAATTTTCTCCAAGCGCAATATTTGCTTACAAGTATTTAGGTACAAGATACATAGGTCCCAAATGTTCTTACATAATGGCAAAAGATATATTTCATTACATTAATGTCCATTATTTTATTTTTTAGCTATATTGTTATATCCATAATTTATTCTATCGATATATAATACATGTGCATTATAATATAGCTAAGAAATAGAATAAAGTCAACAAAAATTGTGCAACTAATTATGAAACTGATTTCATTGCGATATTGTGATTTGTTTTATTCGTTCACATGCAGTAGTGATATATTTCAGTCCTCAAATTTTAATTCCACTTATATTGTTACATATATTAAAATTATTTAATAAATTAATCATAGATAACAACAATGTTTATTTATAGCCTTTCAATTGTCAAATCATATGCATATAACAAATATTTATTTAATATTCAGAGTAAGGATATTATTTTTGATTTGTTGTCTTGTCTTTCTTTACTTTGTCTTTTTTCTTTATTTTTCAAAAAATAAATTATTTAATTTGAAACATAATTGAAAGAGTAGATACAATGAAAGGAATAAAGAACTACACATAGTAATTAGAAACAAAGACTCAAGTAGAATATGTAATGTCTTTGTTTCTAATTTCTATATATAATTTATTTTTTTTATTGTAATCTGTTTCTAAAATTGTGTGCATTTATTTTAATGCACTTGTCAGCAGCTGATTGGCAGTATAGATTCTATATAACATTATACATATATTATATATATAATAAATATAAGGGCGTCTAAAAACGACCTAAAAATGTCCTAAAAACGTCTTAAAAAGACATCTTTAAGACGTCTTAAAAGCGTCCTAAAAATGACGTTTTTTAATTTTTTTAACAATTTTAAATGTTTTAAATTTGTATTTTAAATTTTGTAACAAAAAACTTTCCAAAAATTTTACAAAAAACGTTTTAATTGTTAAGTATTTTACAAGCATCCTAACACTGTCAAAAGTAGCTCAGAAGCACATAGAAAAATTTAAATTACCCGCTGAAACAGCCAGAAATGCTCTATTTAAAATGGATTTTAATAAATTGTTAACAGAAATGGCGGCGTAAGAAAGGAGACAGAAATAGTATTTCTGCTCTTTTCTAGTGTTCGAACTAGCCGTAATAGCCGAAGCGCGGAGCTCACATGTGGTTTGCGCATGTGTGCGATATTCCCTTTCTCATGCTACTTGCGTCTCAAATCTGGCGTCACTGGTATAGAAGGTGCATATCAAAATGACAGAATGACACGTGATAACGTCCACGATAATGAGACAAGCAGACAGCAGTAGACCGTGGATATGGGGCAGGCAAGTGATACATAATACACCCATTCGGCGCTGGTCATTTTAAAGAAGAAGACACGACGTGTCATACGAAGAAGTGGTTGACAGATTGACAGGTTAGAATAGATGTGTGTTTCTCCTTCCATTCTGGATTTGGACTTATTCTTTAAGACAAACGATGTATTTTAATGACAGATGAAAGGATATTTCGTTGATGAATCATAAGTGAGTCAGAGAAAGAAAGCAGAGTGATGGTTGACTTTATTTCATCATTCCATAGGATGATCTGTACATGATCGGTACATGTTTGTATCACTAATGTCATAGTGTAACACTTGTTTTACATATCAATTTCATCTTTCGCGAGAGGAGTTTATGCATAGTGAAGATTCTTTTCACGATGGAGCCCGGTGTGAGCAGATCGGACGATTATACGGAGATAATACGGAAATTACCTGTTTACTTGAAGCTGGCCTACGGCACCGGCCATGTGCTTAATGACATATGTGCTTCCATGTGGTTCACGTATCTGCTAGTATTCTTTCACTTGGTGCTTGGATTTGATCCAACTTTGGCTGGTGTTGTGTTGCTCATCGGTCAAGTAGCAGATGGTTTGGTCACTCCATTCGTTGGTTTGCAATCTGACAGAAGTGATAATTTCTGGCTATGTAGATATGGCAGGAGGAAAACTTGGCATTTATTAGGTATTACTTACTGAAATGTAAAGTATCGTTCAAAGCTTTCGTGTTGTGATCACTATGTTTGCTTTGCAGGCACTGTTTGCGTACTACTAGGATTTCCATTTATATTTTCACAATGTATTGGCTGTGAAAATGCGCATCAGTGGGCACAATTAGTTTATTATGCTGCTTTCGTAATAATTTTCCAATTCGGTTGGGCAGCGGTGCAAATATCGCATTTAGCTTTGGTTCCAGAGCTTACACCTGCTGAACATGAAAGGACTGAGCTTATTGCTATAAGGTAATTATGAAAAAAGTGATTAAAGTAATGGCACATTTGTTTAATAAACATTGAACAAGTGTGTATGAATAAAATTGAGTCTTTATTTCTATCATATTCTTTGATAGATTTACATTTACCGTCTTTTCCAATATTCTTGTCTACTGCATCATGTGGGGTATACTACATATAACGAGCGATCAATATGACGCTCAGATTGGACCTGATGACATTCACAAATTTCAGAAAGTTGTTCTAATTGGAGTGTTAACTGGACTTGTAGCATCTATTATATTTCACATTGTTGTTAAAGAAGGAAGCAATAGTGCTGCAGGTAATGGAATCATATGAATTTTTCAATCTTGCAACATTTATATTATTCAGCTTTATAAGTTGTCACATTTTGTAACAATTTTTTTTTAGGTAATCTCTCGGATAGAAACGCTAGGACAACATTTATGTTATTGAAAGATGCCAAATTGTATCAAGTAGCTTGTGTGTACATGGTTACACGGTTATTCATCAATTTGTGTCAGATTTATATGCCTCTATACTTACATCAGTCGTTGAAAATGCCTGCAACTTCCCTGGCTTACATACCATTGACAATATATATTAGTAGCTTCTTGATGTCTTTAATCATAGAAAGACTTAATACGAAATGGGGTCGAAAAATTGCGTATTCCATTGGTGCTTTGTTCGCAATATGCGCTTGTATATGGATAAAATTTGGCAAAGATGATGTATATATCAAATATGAAATCTATGCAGTAGCCATTTTGTTAGGTAAGGTATGATTTTGATTTAATAAACATAACACAATGGAAAATCTTATAAATTTAGGCAACAAAAATAATTTGCTAAATTAAAGTTTATTTTACACAATTTATAATTTGCAATAGAATTTGAATTTGACATAATAGAAGTTTATAGATTAATAAATATAGTTGCAAATTTTTATTAACTATCATAACAAATCATCACGATTTTTTTCTGGAAATGTAGAATGTTTGTAAATCGATTAATTATATTCATATTTATTAATGCAATATTTTAAGAACTGGAATTTTATTAATATTTCTCTTTAATGTCATTATTTATCATAATCGTGAGAAAGCAGGAGTCTTAATTTGCAATATTCCAGGTTTTGCTGGTGCAATAATGTTAGTGACTAGTCTCGGTGTCACTTCAGATTTAATAGGGAAAAATACTGAGAGCGGTGCTTTTGCCTATGGAGTTATGAGTTTTACAGATAAACTTAGTAATGGTTTAGTGGTTATGCTCATTCAATATCTGGCAAAGTGAGTAGAAATATTTTATATACACATTTTTATATATATATATATATATATATATATATATATATAAATAATTGGAATTGAATTCTTTCGGCTTTATGTTATTTGGGAAATGATAAGATAAGAAAGAAGTCTTGCTGTGACTGTACTTGTTTTTCAGATACTTTTCATCCGATTATGGTAATTACTACAGAGACATTCTTACATATGTTTGTGGCGCATCTGCGGTATCTGGCTTATTAATGATTTTGTACATCAAACCGTTCTCTCGAGATATGGGTACGTTTAAAATGTATTTATTATTAGTAACACGTATAACGATAATTACAAAACAATGTTTTATTATGTAAACAATTATTTTAGTATTTGATACTTTATCCAACTATGAGGACGATGGTTTACTAGAATCTTCAAACGAGAATCAGAATTTTACAAATCAAGATCAACTACAAGCTAACGTACATTGATAGATATATATATATATATTCAAATATATATATTTATATTTGTGAAACATTTTTATAAATATTTATTTTAGCACAAAAAGTGTAGAAAATACAAAGATAATATTTATTAAAAGAATATAAGCACATCGTCTATTACACATAGTATATAAGTAAACTACTATTTTTTTACTTGAGATCTGTAATAAATATTATTGTTGATATTAATAATATAGTTTAATATATTTTAATAATATTATTGTATTTTTTTAGTTACATTACTAGCGCACATTAAAATGTAAGATCGATGTAGATGACTTTTAATTAAATATATTAGATTTTTAATTCAAGCGTTGTATTTCAAAATCTTAATAACGTTAAAAATATATGATACATCAATGTTCATTATCCAATATATCCGATCCAATCCTAATGCAATTATATCTACACATATATTATGCTTCAAATGGTAAGTTCATTTATTATTTGTATGTTCATGCATTGCATCTCATTTGGCAAATGCACAAAAGTAATTCAAAGCTATTCTTACGCAATTACAACAGAGCTATTTATAAATTTGATAATTAATACTTTAGATCTTAGAAGCTTGGTAGAAAAATAATATAATATTCTTTCAGCAGAAATTTTATTGAACGAAATTGTGCATTTTTCTCGTCGTCATCGCGCACTGTTTGATCATTCTGTTTCCATAGAAATCCTGTGGGACGTGGAAAATGTCAGGAGGCGATAGCGCCGGCATCCGCCCATCGTCGCTACCGAAGGTATGCTTTCAGCTATTAAATCACGAAAGGTACATGCCGGCGATGGTACGCGAGCGGTACGATGCCTACCTGTTCTTTTCCCCGCCTGAGAGGAGATCGAATGGTACCATCGCACGCGATCCACCACCAGGCTCCTCCGGTTACAATGTGGAAATGCCGATTCGATTTTCTTCGTCGACTTCGCCCGTCCGGGAGGAGCGTATCATCGATTGGCCGGCCGGCCGACCAAGCCGCTCGTTCTTAGAGGGTGAAGTGAAGAGTCGATGGTAGAGGGTTGCGGTAGAACGCGCCCAGAATGTTGGCGACGAACAGTGCTTATGGTTGCCGCGGCTACTGCCCTTTTGCAACTGGTAGTTCGACGAGCGTAGCGACTATCGGCAACCAGGCCGCGACACGCCCGAAATTCTTTCCAAGGACCGCTGTCAGACTGAAAACATCGCCTGGTATAAGTAGCTGTACAGACCCGTTGTGCGTCGCGCGGATGAAGCGATTGAAGAATAGGTGAAATTTGGTCTTTCTCAAGTCGAGACAAGTGAAAAGAAGAGCGGAAGAGCGAAATTCGCATGTAGATGCGTTAAAAGAATTATAATATGAAATAAACATGGAAAATAAATCATAAAATTTATGAAACGCTTGTGAAACATTGTTAAATGTATTAAACGGCGTAATGATAAATTTTTATGATATATTTTTTCTATGTACATTTGATATTATAATTTTTTAACGCACCTACATTGAGGTGGCTTTTTTGCCATTTTTTTCACTCGTTGCGAAATTTCATTGTTTTATTGATCATTTGAAATGACTTTTGTATTTGACTAATAGAGACATTTTTTTGCAGGAAAGGAAATGGGACTTCAAAGTTGGACCTGAGCAAGAAGAAGCCGGCAGATTACATGGAATTGGCATATAGAGAAGCTATCTCGAAACTGAAATATCTGTTGGCCGAATCGTACGCGCCGTCAAGAATGTCTGGAACGTGAGTTCCAAAATCGTTATCTTAATTTGAACGTATCATACTTTTCTTATTTATAATTTAATTATCGTATAATCTTTTTTTACTCATCTTTGTGTATTCTAATTGCATTTCGTAAGTATATAGATAACAACGTATGATAAAACGGGAAACAATTTCTGTACAGAAAGCCGCAAAGCATTCGGAGCATATATAAAAGCAGCAACCCGCGAATTAGTGAATCTGGAGACGATACGGACGATCAGAGTATGATCAGCGATAGTTTTCGGAGGAAGAATTTCGCCGGAAACGCAATTTCAGATTTCTCCCCGCTTTCGAAAAGTATTCAGCCGTCGAAGGCGTACAGTAATATAGCATTGTCAAGGGCCGATCTCCAATCCGTTCCGCCGGAGTTAACATCTTTTATCGAACGACAAGAGGATTACATCGAGCAACTGGAACGCGAGTCTCAGTACTGTAGAGACGAATTGATCAATCTGCTGAGTAAAGTTCGAGAGGTACAGCTTTGCCGCGAATTATTTGACACAATTAGAATGGCAATTTTATCGTGTTCTAATTATACGGTGACTTTTCGCAGGTTGTAGCCGAAAACGAAGCGTTGCATACCAGGAATCAGACTGCGTTGCCCAAATGCGCTTTGCAGGATCACAATAATCACTGCGCAGAGGCGGATCACGAGTGTCGCAAGCAACACGCGAGCGATCATGCTGATAGCTTAGAAAGTAAGCCAGAGAAGTTTTTGACAGGGCCCAGTATAATGTTTGAGTCGAGAATCAGCGAGTTGGAGGCACAGTTGACGCAGGCCAAGTTGGAGTTGCGAAAAGCGCAGGAAGAGAATCAAGCAAACTTGAAACGTTTGTCCGAGAGTAGCTCGAATGAGAGCAATGTCGAGTTGAAGGCCGAATTGGACAAGGCACAGCGTGCTAAGTACGAGGCCGAGATAAAGCTGGAGGAAGTGCAGAAGCTGTTGTCGGTCGCGAAAGACAAGGAGACCGAGGCGACGCAGAGAGCAAGGCGGTCCGTAGATGACAGGCAACAGGTCGAGTTCGAAAGGAGCCAGAGCGACATGGAGATTCGGAGATTGAAAGACGAACTGGAGAGGCAACACGAGAAGCTGCGGGAGGCGGCTCAGGAGGCAAACAGACGTATAAACGAGGAGAGGCAGCAAGTCGAGCGTCGATACAATCAGCAAATCGAGCAGCTCAGCACCGATATCGCGTCCCATTGGGAGACTGCGAACAAATCGCAACTGGAGTCCGAGAAACAGCGGCGAGAGATAAACGAGCTCAGACGGGAGTTATCTCAGAAACAGACAGCTATTGATAATTTGAAGAAAGAGTTGCAAAATAAGATATGTAAGTTGTACAGAATTTTAACGAGTTAAGGGGATCTTAATCGGGTCGATTTGAAAGGATTTTTCAAGCCACGCAGCCAAAAAAAAGGAATTTTACGAAAAATAGAAGGTAAAACAGAGACTGTATCTGTTAACAGTATCTGTTTTACCTTCTATTTTTCGTAAAATTCGTTTTTTTTGGCTGCGTGGCTTAAAAAATCCTTTCAAATCGATCATCCGTAGTGTATTAGCATATGTACTTTACTTAGAAAAAAGGACTTTTTATTCTACACAGCCAAAAAAAGTTAAGTGTATTTGAAAAAAATAGGTAAAACAGACCACTTTAGGATCCCCTTAATGAGAAAACGTTGCAAGATCTAATTATTTATATTACACGATATTCTCATTTTGTTTAGCCACTTTGCAGAGCGATCTTAATCAGGCGTTAAGCGAGAAAGATGCGGCGGAACAAGAAGTCTTGACCGGCAAATTGGCAGCCGAGCGAAGTGAGAGACAAGCTCGTCAAGAGCAGAATAGATTGCAGGCGGAGATAAATTCGTACAAACAACGTTTGGAAAGAGGGGATGCCGATCTGGTGCATTGCAGAAGAGAAAATTTGAGATTGTCGGAACAAATAGCGTCCTTGGAGAAAGAGGTGAATATCTTGGATATCATTTCTAAATTGGATGACCAATATTATCGAATAGTGACAAAAATGGGAGAATTTCTCTCAATTTTCTCTCACGCGTACTTGAAAATAAGTATATTTTCAGATCAGCATGAGTAAAATCACACACCCCGAAGAGAAGCGCAGTCAAAACGCGCCTAGATTGGAAAACGAGAAGGACTTGACTTCCATGATAATGAACATGGAGACTAAGCATGGTAAGATATCGTTCTAAATATGCCTATGTTAGGTATATTGTCCGTGTTATCGTTACACAAGTTTCGATTCGAGAGCAAAATCTCTGTGTGTGAGAAATCGGCATGCTGACACTATGCCTAGCATAGGCGGAGGTTGAGATTAGTCAATTAACATCGCAACAGGCTCACCAGGCAACCAAATTTCGCAGCTGCCACCGTGGCGGGCCTAGGAGACGCCTTGAATAATCAGGCCACGCTCGTCTCGAGACTGACTGCCGAATGCCAATCTCTCACACAACGTTTGGAAGCTAACAATCTTAAACACAAGTATATTCGTAGTTCGACTTGCAGAACCAAATAAAAAAAAAAATATGACACACGCACCTAGCTTCAATTATCAAATGACCTTACTTAGTTCAATTCAGTTTCAGTTAGATCAAAATTTGAAAAAAGTACTGAAGAACTATGAAGAAGTATAGCTTGATTTATAGCGTATTAACATGTACATTACATAAACAGTGTGTGGCTAACAGGTTCCGAGAGTGAATCAATGAAAAAATATTAAAAATTTATAAGATTAAATGCTCATACTTTGCATCATCTCTACGACGTTTAACACACTCGATAAAATGACGGTGAAGTGTCTGGAAAACATTTTGGAAATGTTCTTTGGACAATCTTTTTCAATTTGTCGATCACGAATATCTTTCTGAACAGCTAGAATTAAATCTGGCGAATAACTTTTTGTTCCCCAAATTTAAATTGTGCAAGAGAGAAGCGATTTGAAAATGTTGAAGATATTTAAATCGAACACGTTAAACATCGTAAGAATTACATAGACCATTAAGAGGAATAAAATCTTGTAAACTTTTCATACTTTTTTATTAATTTAATCTCGGAATCTTTTAGCGACATTTATGCTAATTAGTAGATAAGGATGTATCACTTCCCTCACACGATATATATCTGGGGCTATTCTGTGTTGACAGAGGGGGTCGTTGAGAAAGATGTGACAACTGTTGGGCAAACCGCTTCCCCTTCGAGCAAGAAACGTACCGTTAAGGTTGATCTAAAAGTAAAAGTAATTCCGAAAAAGAAGTCAGACACCTCCAAAACGTCTCTATCAGCACAGTAATAGCGACGTGTGTGTCCTAATACGAATGAGACTCACGCTCGACGTTGATTTTCCGCTGATTAAACGTAATTTCTAATATTGTATTTGTCAATCTGTTTTCATGTGTATCGCAGAGAAGAAATGGCCGACTTACAAAGCAACATAAAACACTTATCGAATAAAATACAAGGAACTCTTGGAAGTCAAGAAGGTACTGATTTTTCTTTCATTCACTCGTTTAACGGTTCAAACAGTGCGAATATATTGAATAACGACTTTTCACTTTTCCAGGAGGAACTCTTATGGAAACTGACGATGGTACTGGAGCTTTTCATTATAACACTACGATGGATGCAGTAGCCTTGCCGCACGCGAACGAGCTACCGGCCGATGCTCAAGCGTCGCAAATGATTAATCAAAGATACGACACCGTGAGCGGTCAAGTAACAGACGAGGAATCAGCAATGTACTCGAACGTTGCATTGAAGAGAAACGATCAGGGCGACTTATCGAGCGAGCAGATGTACGCAGAGAACAATTCTATACCGAATACGATGGAAACTAGAGAGATGTATCAGGAACAAACAGATATTCGCAATAGTGAAGAAGAATATATAGCAAACGATCCAAATATGGACGCATACATGATGGAGCAAGAGCATAATCAGTATAGTGAATATAATCCTTCGCAGTACCAGGAAGCACAATATGTTAATGGCGAACAGTTTAATCCAATAGCGGAAGATAATCAGATTATTTCAGATCCAACCAGATCCAATACTGAAACTTTGCACTAATTTGATATTAATAATATATATACGCATATATAATATAAATGTTCATATATCAAGAGAACACGAGAAATATAGAATAATGTATAATCAAAGCGTATAGTAATTGAACTTTTGCAATTATTTTCAAGCTTTTCCCCTCGAAACTTACAATGCACATTTTTTATAACACATTTAAGATTGTAATAATTTGTAGTAGTTTGCTCTCTTCTTGGAGAACAGCAAATATTGCTTATTAGGATTATTTAATTTTAACTAGTAAATAATTCGCTTGAATATTCTTATATTAAGACACCTCAATATCTCTCTCTCAGAATAAAAAATAATAGAAAATCTTCTCATATCACATATTTATTTGAGAAATCTTTGGTACTTATTCTTAAGATATTGCATTAGTTTTATAACATCGATGCTGACGTCACTTGGCAGCGATTTTATACTTGGCTTACACACGGGTATCGTTTATTTTCGTGGAAATCGTTAAGCGCTGCATCAACATCGGTAAATTGTTACACATTAGTGAGGCTGTGCCAAGGAAATGTGCGAAATATGAAAATACAAGATATGTACGAATGCGTGATTTTTCATACGGTCGTGAGATTGACTTCAGTGACTTCCTATTATCGTTGAAAGACATTATCTTTGAATTCAACACCAACTAACACATTTGATCCACATACGGCTACAGGAACGCCAATCTAATTACGTAAAAAACATCGATCGATTTTAATTACATATATATTAATATAAAGAACATTTCTCTACGTCTTCGTAGAGTGGTCATATTTTGTTGTGCTGTAAAGCGTAACGTGCTGTGCTTGCTGCATTTTTCAATTAGCCATTAGTCCTCATCCTTGAAGCGACGGTAAATAGATTGAACATATGTAAAGACGCATTTCCAATCCGGTCGTTGCATCATTACCATGTCTTCGACATCAAGTAACGGCGCGATTCCAGCAATTTCACTATAAAAGAGAGAAAATTTTAGTACACAAAGGATAAAAATTAAATCATTTAAAAGTTATCGATATCGATATAAAATCGAAAATTTGAAACTCTCTTACTCAGCCTTTGTGAAAGCAAGTTCGAAGTTTTTCCTGCGATTTTCCGGACGTAGAGAATTATAATCGAAAGCGTCCGGTCTAAAATGATGAAGTAACGCGCAGAACGCTAAACCGTTATTCCAGCTTGTCGAGAAGTTGTCAAGTTGTACATTCTGGAATGAAAAAGAAGAAAGAAATTATAAAGAAAAATGTCGAGAGTCACATACATAAATTGTATGTATAATATTACCTCGTATTCTTTGGTTTTTGACCGACACCACGCCAATAATCGCTCTTTAATTTGCGCAGCATTGTCTCGTACAGTTGGTTCCGTAAATTTAAAGCGAAATTCGGTTGCCGGTGATTTTACAGGACTAAACAAAAAAATAATTAAACTCCTTTTACAGATGATCTCTATTACATTTGATCATTCATGCGCAATTGTTATTTGTCTAAAACACTGTGTTACTTATGTTTCACTCTTTGCATAATTACCTTGGCGATAAAGTGGCGCTATTTTGCCTATCAAGTTGACGAAATTTGGCGAAAGGCGACAGCGGCTTCTTTGGGACTGAAAAATGAGAGCGGTGTAAAGCTACGATTGTTTGTTTAGGTGTGCACGATATATTAGATTTGCCGAAGATGCATACTAAGACTCAACCGAGATGTTAATATCTATATCTATTTTAATTATCTATATAATCGAACCCTGGAATCCACATCAGAGGCGTAGGTGTGAAAATGATTAGAAAATTGGATCTAGCGGAATCTTTCATTTCGCACTCTCTCGTCGCATGCCTGCAGCGACATGCATTAGTTGTCTTACAAACGAGTCAAATAAAAGTTTAGTATAAACAAAGAATAGATATGATAATAACTATGTACAAGTGTACAAATGTATAAATATCAATTCTCTAAGTGTATCTCTCTGAGTAACTTTGGCTAATTGTAAGATGACAGTCTGTGTAAGAAAAGGACTGTGTTTCGTCTACTTGTAAAGTGAATGAGTACCGATTTGTTGCTCGCCGGTATCAATCGACGCCACCACATGCACGAGCGTTGAGTAGGTATCCGTGCGCGTATACACGCGGCGAACACACGACGCACTTGTACCTAAGAGGACGTTCACGAGGTGTGGCGGCAAGTACAGGCAAATTTAAACCAAGAAAACAAAGTGTTTAGAGAGTTTGAGTTTTGCTGTTTCCTTTCCTCTTTCTCTCCCTCTCTTTCTTCTTGCATAACATAGAAATGTTAATGTTTTCAGGCTGTAATATCGATCTTAGAGAACTCTTTTGACTTGTAAAATCTGTTGTTATAATTTATATATAGATTTAATTATGCTGTTCATGTATCTATGCGTAATTTCGTTTGCAAACACGTATAATAAGATTAACTGTTTTCATTCAAGAATTATTGAAATGATAAATACAATATATTACTGTGTATTGTTATCACACAATGCTCCGTAATGCAAAGTATTTTAGAAATTTTCAAAATTTCTTTTGTTAAATATCTAAAACTCGTAATAAAGATGAATGTAACATATTGTGTTACACACAAATGTCGCGAAATGTGCAGCTGTAATCGCAATATTGCACGTTGTCGAGTATATTACGAGTAAAGCAAAGAAATTGTTTAGATTTCATTCAAGGATCTCTATTCGGGGGATGCTTTTCGAGAAATTGAGCGAGCCACCACAGCTTCGTTCTGCTCTGCTATGTACCAGCGCGCGTCTCACGTATACTATGATGCACTCTTTTACACACTCGCAGCAGAGCAACCTGCACGCTACTGCGTAACAAAAGGATCAACAAAAATAAGGGCTGTGACTCACTGCTTTATTCGGGGATTGGCATGGTCCTCTAGCGACTCTCAAAGTCCGTCCATGAGACATACACACCGCGCTAACAACTTGAGTTTAGAAAAAAAAGAAAAGTAGATAAGAAAAAAAAAATTAACATTGCGCGCATTGCGTGTAGCGCGTTTAGCCTGTTAATATGCAGGTTTTATGACTAAATAATGCGGCGTTAAGCGCGTTAATGACGGAATCGTCGGCCGATGTTGTCTATTTCTTGCTAGTTCAAGCAGATTTCGCGAAACGGTTTCATTCACTCGACGCACTGATTTTTTTTTCTGCACACACGTGCCAAGAACGAAATAATTTCGGTAGGAAAAAACAAAGAGCGATAAACACCAGTCGTTGATGATGCAGTCGTTGCATCCATTTGCACTACCTTGTCTCTTGTGTAATGAACGAAGATCATATAGGCGTCAGTTCTGTGTGATGAAATAATATTTCTTCCGTGGAGAGCTGGCTAACTTTGTGTTTCGGTGCATCACGAAACATTTCTGTACTTCAAAAATGCGGTTTCTAATCAGACCTGTTGAAATGTAAGATTGTTCGAAGAAAATTTTAATATAAATTTCAAATCACTTCTGCGATCGTAAATCCGAATCTCACTAAGCGCATATAAGCGCGCATTAACTACCGTCAATTCTTTTCAATCTACAAAAATCTATAAAAAATAACCAATAACTTTTCTAAATAAAATACATGACATTTTACATGCAAAATGTAATGAGATAATATTGGATTCATATTTATACGAAAAAAATATTCTACTACACATTAATCAAAGTTAAATTTGAAAGAAAACAGAGGAATAATAAATTTTAGCATTAACCAAAATAAATAAAAATAGTAACCAACAATAATTATATACAAACTTTTAAAATATAAACAGTCTGATTAGAATAAACCGACCGATGAGAATGGCGTATCATCCAAGATTACAACTGCAGGCCACGCTGTCGAGTAAAATCACACTTTATCGTAATAAAGCATTTTTATCACAATGTTCAACACGGCGCAGAGCATCGCGTCATCGGCTTACACAAGAAGTACTTTTGGCAGTCTCAGACAAACCATCACTTTATTGCATTCAGTGCCTCGTGTTGGTATATCGCGCTCGGACTTATGACACTTGAGAGGAAAATTGGCTGGTTAGAAGTGATGATCATCGGCTTTAGTGGCCTCCTCGAAGATGTCGTCGAACACCTTATCCACGTCGGCGGTGTTGAGACTTGACACAGAAATTTGCGGCGCTGTCGGGATCACCAGACGCAGCGTGCTCTCGTCGCATATCCCCGGCATAGTGCGACTTCTGGATAGACCGATGAGACCGTGATTCTTGAGCGAGTCGCGCGACGAGAAACGCCTGCCCTTGGAATCCCTCGCTTCCGCGGCGCCGTCGTTTGTCGGATTGTCAAAGTACCTGCGAATCTTGCTCTCCATTTTCTTTACGCTGTCCGAGGACGAGGACGCCTCGTACTGCTTCTTCATTCTGTAGGGCGACGGTGATTTGGACTTGGGCTTGGGCGGAAGGTAAGATGTGCTTGCGGGCGGAGGCGGTTGCGGAGGTAAAGTGTCCTGCGCGGACAGACGCGGCGAAGAGTGATGATTCCGGGAGAGCGCCAGTTGATGCCACGACTCGGATTTCGACAGGACGATGGATCTGGACGGCTTGTTGGTGCAGGATACTAGATACTCGTCGCTCGAGTCTATCGCGTCACCTGGAATCGGCGAGCGTTCTTTTTGCACGGATTTCGCTTGGCCGTCTGGTTGTTCGTATTGCCCTCTGAGTGCGGTGACGCGGTTCATCCCGGACGCCGAGGACGGCGCTACCGACAATAAACCGGTGACGATCGACGGCGGTTCGAATCTCCTCGGCGATTCCAATTTCCGCGGCTCCAGTCTTTTCGGCGGGGTTTCCGGTGATTGAAACTTCGAGGGTTGATTGAAGCTGCCGGGCTGGCTCGGTATAAGCGCGTCGCGATAATCGTTCAACATCGTACGCTCGTTTTGCAGCCGACGGACGAGACTCTGCTGCAGCATGTTGTGTCGGCGTATTTCATTCTCGGTCGCGCTCGCGTCGCTGCTTGTCGCTCTAGAATACGATCCGAGTTGCGACGGAGACGAGGAGAGCGATTCCCTGGATTCCGGTCTGATTCCTTCCGATCGCGCTTCTGGAATGTCCGCGGACGCGACGGTCGCTATAGCACACGTGTACCGCGTGACAACGCCGGCGTCCGCGCTGATGTCCTGATTTTGAATATTTTGCTCCTCCGGCAATGCGCCGTCATTCGCACGCAGGAAATCTTGCCTGTCGACTTCGCACGACGTATTTGACATTTCACTCTCGAACGGTTTAATGCCTGAGGAGTAATTCGAATATATTTGCGATCGATTATCGATTGCTGGCTTGTACGAGAAAGAATTTTCATTTTGCGACTTCACTTGGAAAATCTCCCGCTCTTCCGCCGGATGATCGGAAGTCGTTCGAAAAGGAACGACGTTCTCCGTCGGATTTAGCACACAAGCGGCGTCTTCCTTGACGAGGTTGCACGCATTCTTGTTTGCGAAGGGCGAAGTTTCATTCGGAGCAATGTCTATTGTGCTCGCGGGATGATAATTCCGATTGTGATCTAGAATCAAGTGCCCTGGATTCTCAGAGCGATAACTCGATTCCGATGTCGGATTGACGCTGCGCTCATCTCGAGGCATCAGCCACTGTTCGCTGAGTTCTATTTTCGGCACGTTGTTGCGCAGGTCTTTCGAGATTTTAGGAGCCACGCGAAGCACACGCGTCTCTTCCGGATGAGCATCGCCGTTGACAACCGCCGTCTGAACGGACGAGGAGCCACCTCTGAGCGTTGCGTCGAATGCGGCTGCATTCCTCGCGAATGCAACGTCGAACGGGCTCTTGTCACCGCGCGTCTCGGCGGGCTCGAACGTGTCCTTTTTGCTGTGAAGTTTGTCCCGAATTGCTCCCTCGGCTTCGCGGCGCGGCTCATTTGGATAATAGTGTTCGATCCGCGATTCCTGCGCGGGGAATATCTTGAAGGGAGCTCTTCCGTTCGTCGCGCCGAGTTTCTCGCTCGGCGACGCGACATTTTTACAATGCGCGTTCGAGTGCTGGTTGCGTTTGCGGGATTCCTCGATGTTCTGCGATTTCCTCGACTCCGGAGTGGTATTCTTGCCGATGAACGGTGCGAATTGCTTGCAGAACAGCCGATAATCCAATCGTCCGTTCTCGGTGACCATGTTGCTCGATTTACCCTCGTTCTTGTCGTGTTCGAGCCACGGCGGTCGAGGGAAGGCTGACTTTTGCGAATTTTTGCTCACGTTGAACTTGGACGGCGGTTGAGATTGAGCGTTATCTCGATCGAACATAATTCTGGCTTTCTCTCGCAAGGTATTCGTGTTGGCTGGCACGTTCTCCCTTTGCCAGTGATGGATCGGCGGCGACTTGGGAGTCTGCGACTTGTCGATTTTTCGGAATAACGACGAAGGCGCGTGTCTGAAACCCGCGTCCGACTTCGCGACGTTCGCGTTCGCGAACGGGAAGCTGTTGTGCGAGGTGCCGTCAATCTGTGCTCTCTTGTGCGTCGCGCTCGGGGACGTTTGCGGCGCAAAACCCGGAGAACGTTTCGCGGAAGGCTGCGGCTTCGAAGACGCCTTGCTCTCCTCGCTCACGGCGGACGGCTTGTCGAAGGCCGTCTTAATATTCGAGAACCGGCTGTTCCAATTCTCGTGCGCGGATGTGTCCGTCCTCTTCGTGTAGCCGAAGGACTTGACGAAAGCGGGCGCGGTGTTGACCGCCTGCGTCTCGTTGTTCCGGTTGATGAGCGCCAAGAACTTCTTGTCGTTCTCCGTTCTGGGTTGAAACGAGGGCGGCACAGCGGGGTTGGACGTGTTCGAGGTGATCTTGTCGCTCACGTTGATAGGTCGTCGCAGCAGAATGCAGCCGGGATTGTCGTAACCGAGATTCCCGGCCTGCAGCTTGAGATAACTCGGTATGTCGATGGTGTTAGCGCGCTTGATCTTGGACTTCTTCACCGTGAATTTGTTGTTGTTGTTGTTGTTGTTTTTGTTTGCACTGAGAAATTCTGCGCGCTGCCGAAGCGCCGCCGCAAGCTTCGTCACGCGACTTTGCTCCTCGTTCGCTCTTTTCATCGCAGTCTCCTCGTCGTCGCTCTCCTTCTCTTGATAACTGTCGACGCTGCCCCGGCGTCGGCTTCGATGTGTATTCGCATCGTTCACCGTTTCCGCGGCGATCGGCCGGTCCGCGTAATTTGCGACGTCAATTTGCGACGGGGCTAGCAGTCGGTACGCGCCGACATCCCCGTGGGAATCTTTGTTCTTGTCGCGCAACGACTGACGCTGATTAATCGCGTCCTTCGTGTACTTGTCATGAATTTCCTCCACATGTCTCTCGTTGCTGTTCGTCGCGTTGTGCTTCGCTGGGAGTAACAACTCCCGCCGTTGACCCGAGACTTGGTCGTTCAGTCTCGCCAAGTCCGCGCTGCTCTCCTCCAGCTGCTTCCTCGCGTGAGCGATTTCCTCGGCGGAAACGCCGATGGTGTGCCTGACAGCGCGACGTCTTCTTCCGACGGGCACGCCGCCGCTTTGCACCGCGATGTCGGTCGTCCGGGTCGTCCCGCCTCCGCCCCCCGCTCCCTCCTCCGGCACTTGCAGCCGCGACAACAGACTCGACACCAGACGCAGGAGATGCAGCTTGCTCGTAGGGTCCGACACGCCGCCGTGTTTCGCGAGCGTCGCGACATCCGTACGCTCCAACGTCTCGCGCAGACGGGAGAGCGCGGTCTGGATGTCCGACAGCAGCAGATCCTCCAGGAACTTGAGCTCGTCCTTCTTCGACTCGAGATCATCGTGGTCGCAGCCGCCGGTGAGCAACGCCTGTTCCATGGAATGGCGTGCGCGCGATCGATCGATGTCGACAGGCTCGGTGAGTGACGTCGACGTCGGTTCGTCAACGCCGCCGCCTCCTCGTCGGTGACCCGCTGCCAAGGACAGCTCGACCGCCTCGCGCAGACGTTCTACCAGTACCGGCAATGAATTCCACTCACCAACTGTCGTGCTAGGACCGCTCCTGACGTGACGTTGCTGTGTTGCATCTTCGGCACCGGCCGCGGTCGCCGGCGGTATCCTCGGCTCGCCCGGTTCCACCTGTTTCACGGCGGTCCCCGACATTGACGCTGGCATGCTGTCGTCCGACGACGCGCTCCTCGTGATGGTCGCCAGTTCTGTTAAAGATGTCACACATTAAATCTAATTATATCGTTTGTAGGGAGATTCTGCTATTTGTTGTACCTTGAAATACGCTATTTATCATTTTAACCACAGTGAAAATTCTAAGTTTAGCAGCTGCTGTTTTAGAATCGTGTGTTTGCAACCTGAATAATTACTCTGCGCAGTTGTTTATTTTTAATAAAAAAAAAATTAATTCTACAAGTGCTTTTAACATTGGTATATTTTCCCAAAAAAACAGGAAATAATTTTATAACATTGAAATAAAATTTTGTTTATATATAAATATGAGAATGCATACCTATTGCTTTCTGACTTTCCAGAGAAAATGTACTGGTGTAAAATACTGTTTTGATAGTCGAATAGCAGAGAAAACTCACTACTTTTCTGCTAAAACGATGGCTATTTTTAATCTGTGAAGAGTTCGAACGTAAATCTTGACAAGTGGTGCTTCTCGAAGATCAAAATATAATCCGATTATTCGCATCGATGGTTTCCACACATCCGCATCTGTTTTCTAAAATTACTTTACAACTATTATTTCATGAAAATTCTATATATTATCCAAGTTTTTCAAATGCATAAGATTTATATTCGCAGCATCTTTTATGCCATACGTTTTACGCATCGGATTGTATAATAATCATTGCATCACACTAAAAGATATTGATGTGATCGATAAAAGCCTAGATAGAAAGAATCTTGAAAATAATTGGAAATAATAAAAATTATTCTACACGATATTTATATATGAATAATAATATCAGTGATATAATATTGCCTCGACATCTGCACTAAAAGAAAGCACTATTTTCCTATCGTTAGTTTTAGTTCGCGGTTATCGAGAAATTTTAGTATTGTAATTCTCAAATACCGAGTAGACTAAATTGCAACGCGCAATTTCCATGTGCCGTGTTCCCGAGTTTGCTTATCATTCCACGAAGAGACGTGCGTTATCTAGACTTGGCAAATTTGACTACCCATAATGTTTTATTTTTGCACGTCAAACGGGCAGAAGTTGTGCGCGTTTCAAGACGCGGATCGCGGGATAAGGTGAGTAGTTTGTTAAAAGCATTGTAAAACAACCGGTTTTCGCACGACAATCCGTTTCGCTCGTCGCATTCGTTACAAGTTTGCGTCGCTTTACGACGCGTCCGCTATCCCGATAGCGCGTATCGCTAATCTTTTCCCTAAGTGGATGCGCGATTGATCGATGACGAAAAGAGGCGTGAAAGAGGGACAGCAGTGAGTTTCGATTGCTATTCACGAATCCGTGCACAGTGGAACACAGTATTTTACCCAACACAGAATCCTTTTGTCGCTGTACCACACGAAACACTGCGCGCAGACAGGCGATTTTCACGCGACTCGCGCGAATCGCGAGAAAAGAGAGAGCCGACCGCGAACCGCGCGCGCTGACCGGCTTCGGCTTCGGCTTCGGCTATCACGCGTGTGCTCGCTTTATTTAAAACAACGAACGGGGATTCTCCGCGGGGATTTATTTTCGGTCGCTCGTTCGACGCCTGTGCAGCTGTTCGCGAAGCGAAGCGAGGCGAGGCGAAGGCGTACGCGCGTTCGCTCGCCGCGAAACCGCTCGCGCACAAAGCGAGTCTGCTGAAAATGATCTGCGATTCCCTATCATATGATTGTAACAGCAAGGATCATTTAATAACAGTTTACAGTACGCTGCGTCTTGTTTATAATATTAATTATATCGCGCTGTGCATATTGATTGTTAATTAAAACTTAATTACACTATATTTAATAATCGAGAATACATATTACACATACTTGTATAAAAATGGAATAAATTAACATATCATTAACACGTAGATATGTAACATTGGTTGCACCCCGATTGTTACGTCCTACATTGCCACCGCCCATTTTTCTTTCTCTCTCTTCATAGGAGAAAAACTTTCATAGTGTACATGAACATAACTGGGTCGATGATATACTTTTTGATCTACTTTTTATTTAAATCTGTGAATTTTATCTGGATTTGTAATGTGCACTTTTTATCACTTAGCTAATGGAATTTCAATCAATCTTTTCAACATTGTGACTGCAACATGAATTTTCTTCATATATTCTTAACATGCTACGCTTCATTACTGACGCTTTTCTTGTGCTATCTTGTCTGTGTGCCAATTTTCCTACCCTTTTTTTCCTTATACTATTTTATCTTCCTTTCTCCTGTTCATTGTTCTTATTCTGTAAGCTTTATCCGCATTATTCTTATCTTTTTATTTTATTTTTGTCAACAATTTTGTTTTAAAAATATTATTAATTTTTATTATGCATCATAATATTTTATATTGCAAAAATTTATTTTTGGAGAAAAAAATGTACGCCAGGCATCAATAAAAGTGCAAATTTTTTGCTTTAAATTTAGCTTTAGATTGATTAACCAATTTTTCACTCGGCTAACAAGTTATTTATCGAGCATTTCTATTATGGGATCAGGTAATTGTGTGCTGTGTAATCGCCGTGAGAGAGTAAGATTTGTAAATAAACGGCGGAACTTGTACTGTGACCGAAATAGTTCGCGTAAGAAAGTTTAGATTTCCTTGAAACATATCACGAAACGCAGATCGCTGTATATTCGCGTCGAACTATCCGCTGACGTCGCTATTAAAATAAACACGTGAACGTCTATGCGAATAATGGTAGCACAAACATAACGACGGCTTGATGAGCAATGCTGCTTCGTTGCAACGAACTGATGGCGATAGGATAAACACACTTGAAACATATGCGCAAAATTATGCGCACTTTCTTTAAGATTAATAAAATTTCTAGTCTACTTGATGCGAAATGATTTAAGAACATCAGTCTTGATGATGGATTTTCCAGATTTAGGTAAGTTAAAATTAATTTTTTATTAACTAACAAAATAATGAGATATTAATCTTTTGTAAATTGAAAATAAAGAGCTTACACGAATCGAGCTTCTTTCATGTGTCAAGCAATAAATTCTTATTGTTCATTTATTTACAAGTAGATGCCTTTTAATTGCTCTCTGAATTCTTATCTCAAATTTCCGGAAACCACAAAGTACGCCTGCAAATTTTCATGCACTATTTCAGCAACATACTATGCTGCAGCGTTGCTTCAAGTGTTACAAACGCACTACTCTCGAATAATTTTTTCTCTCACGAATTTCTTCAGTTTGTAAATATTCAGAAATTTTACGTTTATTAATTAAAAGAAACGCACGGTAAGTATCGATAGAAATTTAGGATTTTTGCTTTAAATTCAACTTCGTATTGATTAACGCACGCACACATAAGAAATTAAACCTACGAATTTTTGTCTGTATTTTTTAATAATCAAAGTGCGCATTATACACCAACCTGAATTTGGCGTTTCTTCCTTTTGCGACTTTTCGTGACTCGGCGTCTCTTTTTGTTCTTCCTCTTTAATTGATTCTCGTTCCTCCTCTGATTCCGTCTTAGACAACTTTTCCGATAACTCGGAACTATCTGATTCCTCTATCGAGCTCGGTTCTTCATTGTCGATCTCTGCTGTTTCCGCTGTGTCTTCTTGAGTGTCATCCTGTTTCGATGCGTTCTGCAGATCTGCAAAAATAAATTACAAATGTTAGTTCGATAGCAATGTAAATGTATTAAAGAAATGACAAGCGACAATTCGCAGTAAACGTTGGTGTGTTTTTTTTTTGTAAATAAATAAGCATAACAGAGCTTAAAAAATAAAAGCTCTCGAGATGTCTCCGTAATGTGTTAGTTAAACTTTATATATTATAGCGTAGAATGCTAACAGTAAGTTCACATTTTCGAATTATTATAATCCGATTTGTAGCCTTAAAAACAGAAAATTATTAGAGAGTAGTTCAAAATGTGGCGATTTGTTATAATGCTGTATGAATGTTTTAATAATTCGATTTGAAGCTTGTTTTTCGTAAATCGATGTAAAAGTCAAGTAACAGAATATAAATATGTGAAAGCTGAACTAACATCTTTAAATTAGAATTTCAGTTGAAAGGAAAAGAGTACAAATGGTTTTTATTATTTTTAGTCGTTCTGCAGGCCGATAGAGATTTATGAAGATCGATGGCGCAGCTTCGGCGAATGCTTCTTATTAATAGACATCGTCAGTGCAGTGACGAACACAACGGCATTATATCGCGAAGTGCGATGGGATGTAAATTGTTTGCATCCTTGACAAGGCAGCAGACAGAGGTACATTTTAATTTTGCAAGAGCGCAATTGTCCAGATTCTTTGGTTAATACGTTCTGCATTCTGTTACACATTGATTACATTAAACTTTACATTTTTATGCGCATACGCTGAATTACGCTCGTTCCCGTGACTTCTTCCACTGACACTTGTTTATCTATCTACGATGATATTCAAGCAACATGGTCGTGACGGAGCTCGTAAAAAGGCTCTCACCTTCTATTTCTGACATTTCGGTACGCCACTTTGATTGGACACCTAAAAAAATAAACAGAGGTGTTATCATTTTTAATCATTTCAATGTGTATATTTGCTTAAGACAATCTGCTAAATTACTTTTATTACTATCGTCAATATATTACAAAGAGCATATTGATTCGAGATTTTAATTATGTTAGGTTTAAGTCTGACTACATCAGGTTGCGATCACTTATTGCAGTGGTAAAAATTGTAATTAAATCAGTAATAAAGGATTGTAATCGGAGATTAGAAATGAGTCGCGTACAAATCAAATACATACCTTAGCGACGTTTTGAAATCGATCGAAACTAGCGGAAGCAGAAGAAGGAAGTATGACGCGGTAGCGTGATAAAATACGTGGTATTTGGTTTAATGAGGTATCGCGTCGTTGCGGTACTTTCGAGGCTTTGAGGGTCGTTTCGCGCGAAAATAGCTCTCTGACCCGTTTTCGTACGTTCGGAAATTAGGAAGAAGAGAACTAGACAGCGCGCTGATTTGCACGCGGGACCATGATAGGTAGGCGGTAGTGGCAAACGCGAGTGCCACGAGGTCGTGCTTTATAAATATAGGCCGGGCGAATTGCAGCGTAGGTAGACGCCTTGCTCCCTCGAGAAAGTGCTCACGTTTCGCTAGAACTTCCTCAACGAAATATGACACGATTTTGCGCGAGCTTTCAGTTCAATGGAGATGAATAGAATAATTGCAGACCGATCGATCGGAATTTTTAAATAATATCCATTAATATCCAAGCGATGTCTAATTAAATTTAATTTATTTTGGTACCTTCTATTCAATATTTTATTAATTTTTACATTTACATTAATATATGAATCTGAAAGTCTTGTATAACAAACTTAATAAATTTAACAGTAGAAAAGGTTTTCTGAATTCTTCCGGTAATTAAACTTAAATTTCTGATTTACTAATCACGTATTTAATTTGCTCTGAGTTCATAATGTTCTCAGTGATTAACCTTTCGTAAGTTAACTCGTATTATTGCTGTATTATTACTCACAACGTGTATTCTCGACTGCAAGTGTTTAACTTCGATTGGATTCATCCCTCCGGCGCGCATAGCTACTGTTACTATTCGATTGCAATCATGACTTTCAGTCATTATTTTAGCGGCAACACACTAATAATCACTTTGTCTTGTTAAAACACGCCTTTTTCTCATTGTTTTTACACTGATTACATTTTAACTTTGTGTATAATTAACTCCAAAGAAACATACAGATTTTTCGCGCCCGGCTTAATCGGCACCGAACAATCAACGAATAATGTACTTTGAGGAAGAACAAATTATTATTAAAAAAATTAAAAATAGGAATTGAAGATTAATTATTAATTTTACAGTATAATAATTTTTAAAATAACTCGAAAACAAGATTAACAAATTATCACAATGTAATCAGCTATCTAATTTCGATTGAATTGATTGTTCACTCGAAAAGGAAACCAGTTTGCGAAAAATTCGAACAAAAGGGACAGATATAAAAGGACCATTTACCTTTAAGGATCGGAGGACCAGCGTCGGGTGGCAGTAGGAGGCTTCGGGAGACTACGACAAGCGGCTGCTACCAAACTCTCGCCGTTCGGATAGTTATTGCTGGACGGCGGCGGCGGTGGTGGTGGCGGCTGCGACGAAGGCGGTGGTGCGCCGCACACAGGATGATGCTCTGCTATCAACGCAGCCATTAAAAGCATAGCGTCACCGGGCCCAAATTAGACGATCCGAAATAGCGAAATTATTGGCGGACGGCGGCGGCAGCGGCGGCAACACTATAGCATAGCTCGCTCGGACTCGCAGCATACCACTGGTTTCTGGTCGCAGAGAACGAGCGGAATACGGTCACGTGTGTGTCACACTTCCGTTACCGGTATACTTCGCCCATTTGGCATCGGTTTTGAGGACATCACGATGTGCAAAATGTTTTCCTGTGCCGTAAACCAAGTGCAAGTGGAGTGAGCAAATCGAGCTATGAGAGAGAGAGAAAAATTGTGAGTGAATTAACTTTTAATATATATTTCGCTTATGTATTAAAGCGATGTGATGTGGCAATGAAATTCGTTTATTATTATGTAGTAAAGCAAAATATCTGCTGTGTTTTGAAAGCAAACCACTTTTACAATTAAGAATTTTTGTAAATTAATCACGATTTTACAATGAATTTTTATAATTTGACTTCTACAATATTAAATCGTTAACTTGCAATATTTCAACGGCAAACAGATTGTTGCAAATATAATTGATTGGAGCTTGGAATGATTGGATATTTTTGTTGAGTTTAGATTGTTTATCTACGTGGAAAAGTTCATGTAAAATGGAACAGTGAAACGGGAAACAATTTATGTGAACGAACGTAAAATCTATCCAACTTTCGTTCGTTTCGCTATCTTCATTGCTACGAAAGTTGTCTTCCTTTGCGGGCATTGATGTCACCCGCATGCTATTTTTCGTACTATCTATTATAATTCGCATACGTAATGATCATTATCGTATATTGTTATAAAATTGTTGACGCAACAAAAACGCACACAGCACAGTGTATTTTATATTGGTTTTTAATTATTCTACGATTATAAATAGAAATAATTGAAGTTTCTACGTACAATTTTATAAGTTTCATTATCATCTTTGAAAATAAATATTTTCGTAAATTAATATCAAATTTGTTATTTAATTTCAAATAATTTACTTTCACTGAATTTTAATTCCGCATATTTGATAGTGATTGTATATTGCAAACAATATAAAAGATGAATCAATGCCTATACGAAATAAAAAAACGTCGCTCTTTTTGTCGCACCTTTACTTTTATGAACAAGCGTGTTTAAGTATATATCTGTACAGTATGTAGCGAGAAAGAGAGCTGAATCAGCTGATCCGGCGTACATCTTTCTCGTCTCTCCCACTGCCGATGACCATCCCAATGATGGTTTCACTCTCTCTCTCTCTCTTGTCCTCCTCTCTCTCTCTCTTTTTTTTTCTCTCTCCTTCTTCGAGGTAAGGCACGAGGCCGTTGGTGGAAACCACTTTCCAAGCGGTGTCTGTTAGCCTACTCGAGTCTCAGTAGGCTCCAGTACACTCGTCGTCGTCAGGTCTTTACATCATGTGATATGCAAGTTGTATTGCTTCCCACGCATGTTGAACTTTCTGAAAACTTTTCGGCAACTTAGACGCTAGCAGTCGAGCTTGTTGATCGCGGTAAGTAATTTTCTCCAAAATCAATTCTCTCGGCATTGAAAATCGAGCAGCAAAGAGAGCATCCGGGAGAAAGAAATTTTATTAATTTGATCGTAATACGCAACTTATTTTGCGCATCACGTAAACAAATATTGCAATAAAATCTTATATTTGAATAGTTTATAGATTTCCATGAGAGCCGGAATTAATTCAGAAAGATGAAAGGATGGTTCGATGCTTTTCGCAGCGACGGCGGCCCGACTCTTTACAGCTACAGCAATCGCACTCCCGTCACAGGTGACGTTTCCTTGATAATCGTATTCGTGATATTCGGCACTCTGTTCACGGCGTTTCTAGTCATATTTCCGGGTGTCAGAAAGGAGGTGAGTATTTTTCACGTCTCCGTTGAATCGTAGATTGTTTCACAGTCAAGTGAAATATAAATATTGGCTATATAAACCTGGTGTATTTTTTTGTCGCAGCGGTTAACCACATTCCTCACTGTTACCTTGAGCCTCTTCGTGGGTGCGACGATTCAAGGTTCGTGTACTTTGTCTACTTTCCAAGTTAAAAGATCTACATTGCCGATAGTGTAACTAACGAATTCGCAGAGTGAAACTGGTGAAAGAAAAAGGGAAAATAAAAAAAAATTAAGAAATTTGAATTTGTTTTGCAGCGTTGAGTCGTGTTACTTATGTCATCTTTATTTTCTTTACTATAAACGTATAAAATTTTCCATTGAGATTGTTTAAAGGAATAAGCAAAATTGAAATTGCGTTTAGAGTTTCCAAATATTATAGTGTCATTGTTCATTCATAATTTTACTGTTAAATAAAATTACGGATTCTTATCGAGATCATTAATCGTAAGTACAGTGAATGTGTGGAAAAATAATTACTGTGCTTTGTGCGTGCAGTGGCGCAATATGGCTCATCTTGGCATACGAGCTCCGCTACTATTGTTAGCTCCTACAGCGCTTTCTCCAGGCAGAAGGCAACGGCCGATATCGGCGGTTATATTGGGTTAATGCACATCAACATAACGTACAGATGTAAGTTTTTAACTGAAACAGTAGAATATCTTCTATTTCAATTTTTTACATGCGCTTCTAGGATTTAAATTATTAGAAATTGAACTCTACATGGATAAAAAATTAATCACCAAAATCAAAATTGAAACTTTTCGTCTACTTCGTATATCGTATAAATTGTAGTTTTTGGATTAATTTGCATATTGCCAATTTTACTACGTCAGATAAATCTTATTTTTCTAGTATTACCGGGAAGCGAGCAGAATGGTGATGTCGAGTACAATGAACGATTCTGGTGGCGGAATTCCGGCGAAATGACCAATGCATTTAAGCAGGCCCTTTATCAGGGCGCGCCATTCCCTATTGTTTCTTTAGCGGAATACTTTAGCCATCATCAGGAGGGCTTTTCCTGGGGCTCACGATATCGCGAAGCCGGATATTACGCTTCAATAATGCTATGGTATATTACTTGGATGATGAGAAATATTTTAGTAAGAATCATTTTAAAAATCACAGCTCATTTTTCACGATGGAAGGGTATAATCTAGAAAATATAGATACAATCGCAATAAAAATTAAGAAAAATATTTGTCACAAAATTGAGTAGAAACAAATCGCCAAACATGATAATTACCTAAGAAATTAATTAAATATATGCAATATTAAAAGACTTCTACACAATTTTGTAATTGCGTTTGTATTTTTACTTCCTAAACCATCTTCGCACTTCTCATACATCGTCTGACAAAGTAAAAATTTTTTTACAGGACTTCATTCACTTCATGGCTAATGATGAACTTGTTACTGATGGTAGTGCCGCGATATGGAGCGTACAGCATGATTCTTACGGGTTCATTAATGCTTCTGACAAATTTAATCTACACAGCCCTTTTGCCATGTGAACCGCTGATAGCTCACATCGAGGGTTCGATTCTCACCTTTAATCTTGGCTGGAACTATTGGTTGGTGCTATCAGCCGGTTGGTGTTTACCGAGACATTGTCGATTATTTCGTTTGACGCGTGAATAAATTTCTAATTACAACTTTTTTCTCTTTATAGGTGCCGCGTGTCTCTTGGCAGGATTCATCATAACAGCTATAGACATGATCTTCCCTCATCAGTTCTCGACTATACTCGAAGTCGATTACGACACGCCCTACGATAGACATGTCATTATAGAGGAGAGTTTCGATACGCATAACATCAGGCGGAAAGTCCCAAACATTGAGGATTCGTTCGGCGATCGAATAATGAGGTTTGCATTGCTCGGTCTAGTTGACAAAAAAGTATCCTTCTTTCTATAACTTTTCTTCTTTGTTTTGTAAATTTGAAAATATTTCAGTCAATTGTCGTCCAAGCTTCAAAACAGACATACCGCTGAAGAGGATACTGAAGGTGTTATTAATCAGGGATACACATCGCACGAGCCGTCTGACTTTCCGCAGGAAATCGGCGATGAGACGAACAAGAGCAACTGGTCGTATCCGTTCCCGCCGGTCTCGCGCAGAGCCGTTAATGGCTGACGTATTTCCTGAATAGCTACATTTGATAAATTTTTTAAGTATGATTAAATATTTTAATATATTTTATATAGTGTAATTTGATAATAATATTCACATATTTAACGAAGAAAGATTGAGATACTTGACTAGAATTACTGACAAAACATGATCTTAAGAACACATTCGCATTATAATTACAAACGAAAACGCGTGAACTTATTAATTATAACACATATTTAAAATATTTGTCAGTGAAGGATTTTCACACACATAAAATCTAGGAGAATAAAATAGAGAGAGAGAGGAGAATATTTTTTTTATCGTATTCATCAATAAGTAACGCGTAATATTCATGACAATTTATAAATAATAAAAAGAAGCGCTTCTCAGCGCTTAAATATGTACATTTTGCAAATCGTTGCAATTTGCGATAAAGTATTGTCAACCAAGTTGATAGCATTATTTTATATGCGAATAAAAAGTAGTGTAGCCGACTAGCCGAAATATTCAAAGTGATGTATGAAATATGGCAAACGCCGAGTTTTGTTGACTTCATCGCAGGCCGACATAACGCTTTTCGTCAGAGGACGTGGTCCACAGCTAAATACTCCTATTTTGCTAACCTGTAGATCAATAAATAATTAATTCTTAAAATTTCCTTTAAATAGACACGTTGTTATCTTTTTTTTTTGCGTTAAATAAGTATATCTTTACAAATTAATATTATAAACGCACATAGCTGTGTTTCTTCTGAACAAATTTCAGAAATGACGTCGTGTCCGGCCGACCAAAGTGATTGATGGCTTTGAGTCCGGTAAATATACTTCTTTTCGATAGCCTCTGGAAGTGATTCTCACATATGTACTACATATGTGAAATAAAATGCAATAAATAGACAGCAATTGAAAATGACAGGAATTTCTCGTTTGTTGCATAAAAATAAAAAAGTAATCTTACTTACCAACATAGTAGTGCGCAAATCAAACTTATGAAAAAATTGTGTGATAAATATGTGGATTTCAAGTACATCCGTAACATCTTTTCTCTCGACGTCTCTAAGAACGTCGATAAACCATTCGAAATGTTTATGCGATGGGCAGATCCATAGAAAATAAACCTGTAAAATAAAGAAAGTAACATCATAGGAAAATTTACTCACTAATATTTTGATAAAAGCAAAATTGGCGCTCACCTTCTTACACGCAACGCCCGAATATCTGTTAGTGGACGTTCCAAACACAAGATCGTTGAGAATCGAGGCGTAAGGAGTGACTCCAATCCCACCACCAACCATCACCGCGACTTCGAACTTGTACCAATCTTGATTTCCCGCACCAAACGGGCCTTCTATACGAATTTTCGGACGCTCGACTTCTGGATTGTAATTGCAAGGATCGAAATAGTTGCGGAGCTTCCACGTCCACGGTCCCTGAGCTTTTATATGACAGGAGAGAAAATTCTCGTGCGGCGCTGAGGTCAATGTGAAAGAGTGAAACTCGTTGGATCTGAAGGCGGTGCAGGCGAGACGTACCCATTGACCCGACAAGTACTTCAAATTTGGTGGTCTGTAGAATCTAATCTTTATCACGTCAGATGGTAATAATTCCGTTTCGATGATATCCAGCGCCATATATTTTGTTCGCAGACTCACGACCTGAAATGCAAACGGTCAGATTAATAAATTGCACTGAGTATTAGTTACGAATTTTGTTACTTATAAGAAAAATTTAACCTGATTAAAATGTTCTTCTTTTTCAAATTTGGCAATACACAAATTTTTATAAAAGTAAAACAAGATAAAAATTAAACAACTTAGAAACTAATGAGAGAATTTTGTGTTTAGATTAGGTTAGGTTAGGTGTTGCATAAATATTCAGAATAAATAATAAAACAATCTATAAAAGCAGATATTAGAAACATCTTAGATAAAACAAGCGCGTGGGCACAGCACTTGCATTAAACATGTGTAAAATAAAGTAATAATAGTCGGTGCATGTGTAGCTAATTGGATTTTATAATTTTACGCCTCGTGAGAGAATGTGCTATATATGCAGGTGCAAAGACAGTTGAGAAAAAGTATAAATACAAAATTACTTTGTCCAGGGCGTAAATAATCGCCGGGCCAACGAAGAATATCCAAAATCGCGGCGCACCTGTCAAGCGGGCCAAGCCGTGGATCAGGCACAATGCGTACAAGACTACATAGAGACTATGTGTCGACCAAAAGAATTTGTAAGCCTTCTGTCGTATGGTCGGATGTGCGAAGACAAAAATGATTGTCATAACGACGAACAGAAGAATACCGGTTAAACCTGCAGCAAGAAGCAAATTATCATCATTAATATTTATAGTAAACGAAGCTTCGAAGTTTATAAAATTTGTCCACTGTCATTTGTGCAAATAATACCCACCGGTCACCGTTCGAAGCAGCCAAAAGGAAATAGTAGGCCGCGCGTCGCTGGGAAAGCTGATTTCGCTAGTGAGGCAGCGAAGATGCGCTATCGGCTGCGTGGAGACGTGATAAAAGTTGACTATATGGCCAACCGTATGCAGCACGGAGAAAAAGAGCGCTGTACACGCTGCGATCTTGTGAAATTGTATGTGCGAGTCTAGAGGTATGTACTGCTGGATCGAAAATTCCTTCAGCTTTGTCAGTAGATTACGTGACATCGTTAATAGTAAAAGACTGTAGCAAAAGGACAGAGCGGCTGCCGAACCTCTGGTTATGGCAATTCCAACGCCCATTATATGTCTCAGATCCGTATGTTCCGTCATGAAAGAGTAATCTATAGACAAATAAGAGACAAATTTTATGATAAATAGCGACACGCTTTCCTAAATATTCAAATAATGTCTTTAATGTCTTTTTTCTCGAGAACTCCAAAAAAATCGATTATTTTGCATCTCTTTCTAATGTTTAGAATTTCAAAAATAAATTGTAATAGTTAAAAACACTCAAAAATAGATAATTTTCCGGCAATTGATACTCACAAATAAATCTCTCGACAAAGAGAGCTATGGTGATAACGTAAAACAGGAAAAGATAGAATATATTCTGTCTACTCTCTTCGAGAAAGGTCGATATAGCATCCCATTGCTTGCGCGTCCAGCTTTTCGAATCTTCTGGGGGCAATTGATCGATATGAAAGCTGGTCATGCGCGCGACGTTCGTCGACATATCGAGGAAATTCTGTTTAGCACCCTTGCAATCGAGACCAATCGCAACAAAATCTCCTTTGTATTCTTTCATCATTAATTTGAAGTCGTTGTACGTGAGATAGTCCTTCCTCTCGAGCCCAGCATCCTGGTCAGTGAGAAATCCAAAATGTTAGAAATATTAGCAGCGACAATAATATTGAAATGATAATAAAAAAAAAACATACCTGGAACATGCCGTCAATTAATTCTGTGACGTGATCATCCGAAAGGCTCGTGGTACGTGCTATTTCCACCAGCGATCTTAACATTTCTGACAACTCTTCTTTGTCAATCACGCCGTTGCTATCTTTATCGCACATGTCGAAGATGATGCGCAACTTGTCCTCGGTTTTACCACGTGAAAACAGCAGAACCGTGTCCAAGAATTCCTGAAATTTGAATTTGTTAGTGATGCTCGGATAAAGTGGTGAAGGCAGTGGATGAAGCAAATCGCAGATGATTATACTTGAAAGGAAATCCGGCCATCGCCGTCTTTGTCGACAATGTTGAACATTTTCTTCACGAAAACTGCATCAGGCCGCATGCCAAGAGCGCTTGCAAACTCGCTTTTGGAAAGTGACGTACGCATTACCGTAATGACCTCTCCGGTATCACTATCTTCCGATCGCCGTCTCCGTTCGCCGGGCCGTAAACCGAAAGTCAAAGCGTACGCTTCTCTGAAGAACTAAAAATACCCAGGTTTGGCAGTCAAGATCATAAATCTTTCATATATAATAATAAACATTATAAATTTGTAAGCATGAAACTATATTATTTTAATCTATTGCGCTAAAATAAGAAAAAAAGAATAAGGAAGGGAAAGGGAAGGAAATTGGTTCATTTTTCCTTTATTTCTTTACAAAGATTTATTGGTAAATAAATTGAGTCGATACTTTCAGATGTCTAAAAAAAAAAATACAAACCTGTTCAAGCTTCTTTTGTCGGCGCTCTTTAGTTTCCGCTTTTGCTAACATAACATCCCGTGCGACTTGCGTGAGTGTGAAATGCTTTTTTTGCGACGCCAGGAACGCCTCCAATTTCGCAATAAACTTTCTACGTGAAGCCAGCGAATCGAGTTCAAGGACAAGGTCGTAATCGCGTGGTATACGTAATAACACTAGGGCCTTACGATGTCCGGTTTCACTCTCCTGAAAGCGTGATTAATAATTATCGGATGCATGGCGTGACGTTAAAGAATCAGCTATCTATTAATAAAACGTAGAAATTGAGTAATTTTAGAGATGTCTAATGAAGTGTAATTACTTTATTGACACATACAATACTTAATTGTTACATACATTATTCCACAAAAATAGGAAACATTTTTTAGACGCTCAAAATGGAGCAATTTTCAAACTATTGAAAAATCGATAAAAAATTATTGCACACAAAAAATTGAAAAAGCATTTTAAAGCTTCAAGTTTGTAATTTCACATGTTTCAGTCCGTTTACTGAAAAATCTTTATATTTCTAAAAAGAGAACATATTGTTTTGTTCTTAAAATTACGTTCGTTCAACACTTTGCAGCCCGATAAAAAATTTATGACAAGTATTAAAATCTACATTTTACTTACAAAACACGTTTCTTTAAATTTTCCTACGATTTTTTTTGTTACATGACTTTGAAGCTTTGAAGCTAAATCTGAATTTTTAAGCTGGTGCTAGGGTTGGTTTTAAAGTCTTGCAACTTGGTCAAAAAACATCGTAGCAAAATTAAAAAAGATGCATTTTGTAGGTAAAATATTGCAGTTTTTGACACTTGTTATCAATTTTACGAGAAAAATTTTTGTATTGAGCAACAAAACAATGTTGTTTTTCTTTCAAGCTTAGAAGCGTGAAGATAAATTTTTAGAAAATAACCAGCATAACGTGAAAGTACAAGTTTCAAGCTTTAAAATGCTTTTTTAATTTTTGGTCTACGATGATTTTTCACAGAGTTAGTGATTTGAAAATTGCCAAATTTTAAGCGTCTGAATGTCTCGTCGCGAACAGTGTGGCCGACAGGTCGACTGGCTGCGCGCCATTAATACGCACGTATTAATGGCGCGCACTCAGTCAGCTGCACTGCTCTGCCGCATCGGACGTTCAGACGCTAAAATTGACTAATTTTCAAATCGCTGTAACTCGGTGAAAAATCATCGTAGACCAAAAATTAAAAAAGCATTTTAAAGCTTGAAACTTGTACTTTCACTTGTGCTTTAGACCGTTTTTGAAAATTTTTTATGTTTACACTTCTGAGTCCAAAGAAAAGCACATTGTTTTTTTGTAATTAAAAAAAATTTTTCTCGCAAAATTTATGACAAGTATCAAAAACTACAGCATTTTACTTACACAATGTGTTTTTAAAAATTTTGTTACGATTTTTTTTGGCAGAGTTACGCGACTTTAAAACCAACTCTAGCATTAGTGTAAAAAATACAGGTTTAACTTTAACATCGTGTAATTCGGTTAAACAAAATCGTAGGAAAATTACAAAGAAAAAATATGTTTTGTAGATAAAATGTTGTAGATTTTGACATTTGTTATAAATTTTTCAAGAAAATTTCTTTTATTGAGCTGCAAAGTGTTGAACGTACATAATTTTAAGAACAAAGCAATATGTTTTTTTAGAAATGTAAGGATAAAAATTTTTCCAAAAACGATCTAAAGCACGTAAAAGTATAAACTTTAAGCAACATTATTGAATTGGCATAAAAAATACAAGTTTACCTGTGATGCCTCCATAGTTATGGTGTTAATGCCACCGAAGTCGAACGTGCGTAGTTTCTCTCCTTTTCGATCGACGATATGCAACGCTGCTTCCGGTCCGAATTTCACCTTCACGAGACGACGATGGTTCGCATGCAGCCACTCACGTACAATCATTTTATCAACACAGATCCGACCGCCGTTTTGCTTTTGTATTGCTTCCTGAAGTATTTTCAGTCTTCGCCGCCGTCTGTTTTGCAATTTTACCAGCCCGTATCCTGCACCGGCACAGAGAATCGGTACGAATCCAAGAAACACACAGGCGTAGATGTACACAAGTTCGCTACCCTGTGACACACGTTCAAAAAAAAAAAATATAATGTAAAATTGCTTTTCCTTTATTCAAAAGTCAAATATAATACAATTAAAAAAATTAATTATCACAAAAGCTTATAATCGACAAGAATTATTGCTCCAAAACTGCAATTTAAAAAAAATTCAGTTATTCCTTTTATTAATAGTACTTGTTTGATATTCAGAATTTTTCTAGCTATAAGTAAAAAATTAATCTTTTATCTTATTTTTTGGAAAAACAGATAAGATTGGTCTTCGAATTGGTTACCTCAAAATAGTCGTGACGCTGTAAGGGAACACACGACTCGAGCATGGTCGAATTCAATTGAAAAGGCTGAGGACACGGATCACCGTTTTGCCAAAGAAACACTCGTCTTTGTATCGCATCGGATGGTATTTTGGTCGCGTTTGTGATTACATCCCAAAGAGTGATGCGACGAATTTCCTCTATTTCGCTTTTCGTAAAAATACTAATGGACAAATAGTGCATTAGAAGATTTTACATAATTGATTTTTAAAAGATTTTAAAATAGAGAAAGAAAGAGAGGAGTTTTTATATTAAACTTTATCGGGAAAAATAATTATTGGGAATAAACATTAATGTAAGTGATGAGAAAAACTAACCCATTTTCCTCGTTTTCGAACCAAAATCTATCAGAATCTCGCAAGCGGAGGAACTGCTCTTTTATGACCGCGGTGAAGAGTTCGCCGGGGCCACCCTTGGATTCGAGCATTCCGCCAACGTAGACGTCAACGTTGTTGAGATTATTCGAGTAAATTTCAATGAGAGCGCGCAGCAGTGACGGATTCTTATTGAACAATTCAGGATTGATCTCATTCCACGTTTTCCGTCTGGCTAATTTGAAATGCACCCTTGCCGTGTTGTAATCCGCAAGACCGTTGTCGCGGCCTCGCATGATGTTCAGGGCGCCGAGATCTCGACGCGAAAATTCCATGGGTCCGAACAGATTGTTCCGAATGTCGGTGCCGAGAAGATTGTCTTCTTTCTCCGCCAATTGCGACGCCATGCCCATAATCAATTCTTCAATCGTGCTGTTGGCCAAAATCTCCTGAAAGAGTATTTACATTTCGTGTGATTCGTAGGTTTCACACAAGAACGCGAAGTTTTCGAAATTTCTCTCGAAGCAAATGAATGACACTGACGTTCGAGTCCCACCATGTAGAACACAATCTGATAGCCGGTTGATCTGTGTTGGTCTTCCTATATTCGCACTTCTCGTCCCGCCGATATATGCCCGGCGGTATAAGAGTATGGCCGAAACGGAAAGCGGCGCTTTGAAATATATGACTGATACCCGGATGTAGATCCGATTTGTAACCGGCGTATGACGGCAGGTTCTCATTTAGCAATGTCGGAAGATATTCATAAAGGATTATGTTCTGAAAAAAAAAGGTTAGACATGTAAGGAATCGTTGTTTTACAAACAAGATTCGCAAATGCGTAAATTTAGCTGTTATTTAAAACAGATATTTTTTTCGAAAGCTTATCGATTACATCTTTGATTACGTCAAACTGATTTCATTGTTATTTATAACTTTTTTTTTTGTAAAACTTTGTGTTTTTAATGATTGCAATTTTTGAAAATAAATTAAAATTGCGGTAAATTAATATTAGAGAAATGGGCTCTTCAATTTAATACAAAAATTTAACACTGAAAGGTGTTAATTTTATTTCACGATTATAAATGACTGTTCTGCTTTTATCGAGTTTTATGTAACTTGCCTAACAACAAGAGTAATTGCTTCAGCTTATTTCATCAGACATGATCAAGCATAATTGCGTTTTGCGTTAGATATCAGGCTTTCTTATTTCTATTATTTAAAATTTTTCTTTTACACTAAAGATGGCCAAATCCAAACGTTTGTTTCATATTAATGTACTTGTGATGTTAACAATAAATTGGAGCACTAAGACCCAGCTCTGTTTTAGCTTTTTAAGAGTGTTAAATTTTTGTATTAAATTAAAATCAACTTATAGCTACCTGAATCGTTCCTGTGACCATCCGACGTGTCTTCTGAAAAATTTCTTCGTCGGACATGTCGGGATGCTCTCTGTGCATGCGAGCGGCCAAGACATTGTGATACCGATAGAATAAAATTCCCAGAGCCAACAACGGTGGGTGCTGATTCGTTCGTGGGTCGCCAAGCACTGTGCGAAACAATTAATTATTAGGCACTTTCGTGAAGATCGGAAAATTAATTACAGACAAAATTACAACATAAGATATAACAGAAAGAGCATAGCGCAATAATTACGATTAATATGAAAAATATAATGCAACGTATAAAAGCTGCAATAAATTGATGGCAGATAGCAATCAGATACTATCATGATATTTAATTAGTGAGAAGACTCACATTATGTAAGAACCAAACGATTGTTATAATGAATCTTTCTTGTTAAAGCATTGAGGAAAAATACTGTCCAGGATAAAAAAAAAATAGCTGATAAAAAATAATTTATGCTCGATGATAGCCAAGTTTGCTGTCTTGTTTTATGCAGTTGAACAAAACTAATTTCTCCGATAAAAATATCAAATGTTAAACAAGAAAGTTGACCCACTTGAAAACTTATGGATTGTAAATTATATATTTATGTATGTGTAATGTTCGCTTACGATATAAACGCTCCGGGCTAAGCATTCGCATGACATGAGGCACTGCGTGATTGAAAAGAGGTGCGCGCATAGTGTTTCTCACGGGGAATTGCCTCGTCTGTTCCATGAGAAGACTGCCGTTCTTGAACGCGCGCATTGTGTTGGCCCATGCCTCACTGCTCGAATAAACGAAACTACCGTCGATCCAGCTCGTCACTTTGTTTATCTGCAACCTCACGTATTCTATTTCTCACGACTTTGTTCCAAAGGCTCGGCGCGGAGTTGAGCAAGGTGTTAAATGCCGCGTGGCATTTCGATAAACGAGCAAATTTATATGTCGCAAGAAAAACTAATTTAATAAACTAATATAAATGTAATCGTGTGCAATTTAAATAATAGCAATGTAGAGTCGGAATACACGTCATTATTTCATTACATTGGCGAGAGAGCGCGTCGAGCGAAAAATCCATGATTTCAGAAGTTAGCTTGCGTGCAGATCAATTCGAAAGTAGTTGATGTGTATTCGAGAAAATTTTTAATTACGCGCAATTACCTGTTCTCGTGGACTGTTGGGACTGCGCCCGGTTTGACGATCGTAATCCGCTCGGAGAAATGGAATGTACTTGTTACCTTGACACTCTTTGTCGAAAACCGGATCACATTTGTCTACGTCAATTCGATGAAATTCTAAGGGGCAACCGCTTTCGCTAGCCATAATTATCTCCGACGTGACCAGCTGTCCTGCAAAGAATCACCATCGAAGATGATGTCTCAAATTTTTTGGAAGGCAAGAAATTGCACGCTTTAAAATTTACGTGAAAGAAACACGTCACAATTGAACTGGATTGATAAATCAATACTATTCGTAATTATTCTCACCGAAAAAGGCGAATAACGCGGTCCGATTTTTCACCGACGGCAGGCCATCGTCGCCTTGCATGAATAAGTCGCTAAGTTTTCGGGGAGATGGCCTGTCTTGGCCAGCCATTGCATAAACGCCATCGGAATATGCCGCTGGGACCTTTCGAATTAGTCTACTGTCTATGGAAATATGTATACAACCGTCAGCTTCCTGTATCTCATTAAATTTATAGATAGTATTGGTATTTAAATCTCAGATTATGGAGTACTTGCCAATTGCTCCCCAATCAGAATGAGCCAAATTGTTGTAAAATCCATCGTATCTCTGTTTGCTGTTCACATAATTATGCCCCGCTCCTAAAATAATATTTGCATTATTTAACGAATAATCAAGTGCCTTGGCATTAAACAAAAAAAAAACTTAATAATTGTCTATTAAATCAATGAATGACTAATTGAAAGGTAAAATACATATTTATGATGTTAATATCAGAGATATAATATTGCATAATATTATCAGAGTGAGAAAAATTGATAGATATATTCAAATTTCCACTGAAGATTTTTTATATTTCAATTAAGTTTCTACGGTTTCTTTTCAAAGATTTGTATGTTAAGAGAGCGGCAGTTGCATTTAGGTACCGGTTCCAGCAGGCACCGCGATCCAAAGTGTCCAAATGATTGCGCAGAGCGACGCGACACTACGGAACGGCCGTCGTCGTCGTGTCATCGTGTGTCACTTGGTCTTGCCGAGATCACGCCTGAGCATTTCTCTTATGCCACATGCATAGTACGCGCGCGCGTCTTCTTCACGCTTCCTTTATCGTTCCCTCTTTTTCGTGTCAAAAATGTTCTGGAGAACACATCCCACTGATATTGTCTATTTGCAAGCAGTGCGAGATCGCATCGATCACCTTCGATCCGTATATACGAATTCTCGAATCTGCCAAACACGCGGATTAATCGAGAGCGTTGATATCATTTAAGTCGAAACTTTCCTTCTACATCTCGATCTCGGCTTTTCTACATCTATAAATTCTAGAGGATTGTAAATAGGTGATTGTAATTTGCATAAAAATTAAAGCTCTTTCTTACTTTCTTTTAAATATGCAATAAACGATTTTTTCACTTAAAGGCGAAAAAGGAGTTTCTGGCGAAGCTTGTTAGAATTTAACGGTTTTAGATCAAAGTAGAATTGAAAAAAATCTTTTTCAGTATTTAAAGTATCTACGTGGCGTTAAAGTTCAAACGTTTGAAAATTTAGGATCAAAGTAGAAGGAAAATTTTGACTCCAGCACTTTACCTCGTCGAAAGAGAGTGCTCATCATGCGTGAAATACCAAGTCTAATCGTTACCGTATGATTTTACGGTTGTTCCGGATGTGGCAATCATGTGCGGGTGCAACGGTGAAAAAAACTTGTACACAGGATACACTTGGTATGCGGCTCTCTCGAAACAAAATTGTCGCTTTCTTCAGGCTCGTCAGAGAAACGGATCGAGAGATTTCGTTAGGGAAAAGCACTGAAGCACGATCGCAAAAAAAAAAAATTTACTCGATTCCCGAAGAACAGTTAACCGTCTCTCTCGACTACGAGTCCGACTGTGCCTTGATCTGCGCCTCCGCCACTACACAACCGCTCTTGGTCGCGCGGTGAAAGTCGCCGGCCTATTTGTTTCGTTGCTGCGAACGCGCACCTCCGTTCCTCTCTTTCTTGCTACCTCCTCCACGAACTACAACGTCGTCGGCTCCTACATCAGTGTTTTTCAACCTCGAGTTACTTCGGCTTTATAAGTTTTCAGCAACGAAATTTTATTAGAGGGAAAAAAAATTAGCAAGACTTTTTCCCTCTTAAATATATAAGCGTATGTAAGATGGATTTATATTTTAGATGATTAATTAATTTAAGAATCATAATTCGCTTTAATTGAAGCAATCTAAATATATTTTATGAAAAAAATTTTGAAGATTGTTCCATAAATTAACCAAAGCTAACTATATATAGTTAATTTCTTGTTCTTTTTTTTTTGGCTTCAGAAAGGTAGAAATGCAACAAATTTTAACAGACATTTGACGGCAACGCATTTAAGGATACTCGCGGTGCGCTACGGTCCCACGGTGCGTCGGTTGAAAATCACTGCTCTACGGTGTATAGTAAGATGCGCGCGATGCCGTGCGACGACGTCACCGCTGGCGCAGGCCTAGTTTTCGAGTCCGCGGCACCGATTACCCAAGGCGAAACCACTCTTGAGCCTCCGTCGATCGTTTCAAGGTCGATCGAGCGTCGGATGAGCAGATCTTCGTTGGAAACGATACGGTGCATTCACGTAATCGACTTGCGGTATTCTGCGATATTTGTTTCAAATGACTCGTTCTTCCTTTTTAGGCGAGACTACATCTTCAAGCGAAGATTAGAAGGACATCTGCGTCGATTGTTTTTGCAATTATTATTGACATATATAGCGCATTAATACTGGAAAATAAGATATAAACTTCCGCGTTGGCGTTACAACATAATGATGTTGCATCTAATTTTCAAATAACGTTGTATCCGCGATTCAACAGTTTGAAAGAAATCGAAACTTTTAAGTATGCTTGAAAGAGATAAAATATTTTCAAAACGTTTCTACGACTCAAATAATTTTGTCATATTCAGAATAATTATTGTTTGCAAAATTGCAGATCTATGTTTCTCGACGCAATTTCGCGTGAGCATTTTTTTAAACGAATTCGTGTCTTAATCCGTCGCGCTGAATCTAGATTATTTAGATCGCTCATCGAGATTTGAAAAGTTCAGCAGTAGTATTGTCCGCGGTCAGACACATAAAAAAGTATATCTGATGATGGCACATTCGCATTATGACTCAATCCGGAGAGAAACCGCGTTTACTGTGCTCGACTACTGGTCGATCTTTGATCGCCCTTGACACAAATCAATAAAAAAAATCGCGTTTGAGAAGAGAGATCATATGCGTAATAAGGCATAATAATGTGTAATAATGCGTAATAATGCGCGCATCTCTGCACATACGTACAGTTTGTTCATTCACACATTTTGCCTTCATTTCGCAAGTGTGCGACTTTTCATTCTCTTTCCAGAATACGTCAATTTTTCAACATCGGATAAAATATCGGTTCAATAAATTATAATATGTTTTCATTGGAATTCTCTCATCTCATTATTCACTTTCATGAAAATTAATTATCATAGAATCTTTCTATAAAAGAACTTGTTTATTCGTATTGTCGTCAGCATACAGAATAATCTGTGAACAAGACTTCGAAGGCACGAGATCGTCGCAAAAACCATTAGTAGTCGTTGAAAAACGTAAAAATAACGTAAATCATCATCGTATTTTCGTTCGTGCGTTCGTTATTGTGCGTCGAGAAGCAATGGCGCGCCCGGCGAGCACTTTTATTAAGAAACCTAACCTCTTCGATCCAGTACAAATACTTAAAGTACAGCCGTATTTTCGCGTGGATTATACATTTCCGTACTCGCGCGCACTCGGGAGGACGGACGGAGACCGCGAGTGCCGGTGATAGCGGTCACTTCGAGCTCGAAGGGTAGTAATAAACCACCGCCGGTGCCGGCAGTTGCCAATGAGCAGCGTGTAGTTCGATCAATTGTAAAAGTGTCCTCTTCACCGGCGGCAATGTCGTCTCTTCCGCCAGGAAAGCGTCGCGCACGCTGCCGAGAAGCTGCTGCAACTGCGCGGGCAGCTCTGCGTCCAGATCCTTGCCGATGCACGTAAGGATGATGAACAGGCAATTCGTCTGTGCATATATTTCGAACAAATAAATGAAATCTTTTACCGAAGAGCACCAGCTTTCACGTACGTTGCGAATTTATATCCTAATATATGTGTTTATTTGATCTTTTCATAGTTAAACGATTAATCTGAATTTTACCTCGGCAAGCGAGTTGATGACGGGTGGTTGTAGACAATCCTGGCAACATTTCCAGAGCAGCGTGAGGAGCACGCGTCCGGGAGGAACACCCTCTTGCTGCATCTTCAGTTGCAGCTGTCGTCGCTTCAACTGTAATTGTGATTATACACACACATATGCAATCACACTTAAACATTTAACATTCTAAAGTTATACCTGGCAATACATCTCGTTAAGAAACGTCATAAAGGCCGAGTATCGATGGTAGGTCGCTCCGTCATGTAATAATCTAGCACGATCCTGATACCATTGCTGGCACGTGTTTAGCAACGATTCCAAAAAGGTTTCTTTCATTTCTTTCTATAAAATATACGTTACGTTGAAAAATAATCAAGTAATTCGAATTAATATTGCTACGTTAATAATGTTAATTTATTATTTGTATATATAGTTTACTAAAATAAAATAACAATAAAAAAATGACCTCTATAATCGTAATGCAGATTTTAGCTGCTGGTTCGGCATATTTGCGATTTTCCACTACCCTGTTCAGGATGTGCCGCACTAGTTCCATCAATGTCCTCGCATTTAAGAGATTCGGATCTGTGAAGAAAAGAGATCGGTGACAACTGGGTTAAATTGTTTATTAATTTTCAACGCCGAAGCAAATAAGCGAGTAGTTAAACAAGTTCGATCGATTCAACATTATTTTGTGTTTACTAAAATATATAGTTGGATAAAAAACATGTTTTTATTCACATTTTTTTCTCCGCGTACAAATCACATTATGAATGATGCGTATAATGTGCGCCATTCGATCTGAACAATGTCTATTCAAGTCTCGGGTTTAAAATGAATTATTAATGAATAATGAACAAACTCTCTCTTACCATCTATTGCTCGCAAGAGTATATCTTGAACGGGCGAGGGAAATTTTCCGAGTTCGGAAGCCTCCGCAATGTTGAGTGCCTTGGCAGCCAATACATCCGTTGAATTCAAGCTCTTTGAACGTTTCAAGCCATAGGTGGATACGAAGGTGTGCGATTTTGTAAGCTTGCCCGGTTTCGCCGAATTAACTTTCACTTCATTTTGATCTATATTGAAGTGTACTCTACTTGCAGCCTGTTGGATAAAACGTTTGATAAGTATTGATAATTGTGTTAAATTAATTCTCACGCTTAAGTATTTTATTTTCTATTGTCGCGTTCTACTTACGTGCAAGATATTTCCGCTCGATGCGGATGTGTCTAACAAATGAGACTGCCGTGACGTAGAATTCACTGTTGTGTGATGGCTCTGAGAATGGCGGACCGGGAGTTGCTGCTGTTGCTGCAGAGGATGCTGTAATTGTTGTTGCTGAGCGTAGAGATATCGATGGACATTACTACTCGACTTGCTGTGCTGCAGATAATACACGGAGCGCTCCGATGCATTCCGAGACCTGGTCGAGAGAGATGTCCATTTGCATTATTCACAGTTAATTCGAATTCAAAATTGCGCCTAAAATTCCGAAGTCACTAGACAAGGCCTTAATTAAGCCAGTCATTAAGACTTCATATTTATTTAGATTATCGTGTTAATAGTATTATAATAAAATAGCTGAAAAAAAACGACAAGAGTTAATACACATTAAAAACATTTAAAAAAATAATTTTTTATTTTAAATTAATTACTATAATAAGAAACGTCTAAGTCGTTCTTTTATTTAGACAATTAATATCAAAAGTTTGCATTATTGATTCATTAATTATGTATTATTACATACTATATCGCCGATTTACACTCACTTAGAAGAATGCAAATCATTCTGCTTCATAGTGAATTCCTTGGCATGCACGTTTAGTCGGAGATTAGTGACGTTCGCCGTGGTTCCTTCCGCTCTCCCACCTAGAGATGACCATGAAACCAAACGACGACATCGTGTGTAATAACACATCGAGGCTTACGACACACGTGCTTGCCGCGTAGAACAACAGAATACAAACCTGGGGGTCGGTATATTTCTAGGGATGGTTTAGATTTTGGAGCAGTTACGTTATTACTTCCTTTCTGTGGAATCACATCCCTCATCTAAAAAAAAAAAAAAACAGAAGACAATCATGTGCAAGAAAGCACTAAGTCTATCTTATCTAGAATGTGAGTGCCTGTTCGAGAAATTCTGTTTACTCTTCAAAATTGCTTTGTAGCGATACAATAATTGAGAATAATTGATTCATTTATGTTATTAAAGACTAATAGAGAGAGAGAGAATATTAATTAGAAGTAAACTGATGTTGAATAAAATTTTACACGCTTTTACCAACATTAAAGTTAAACAGAGTTTAATTAACTTTTTTTATGCGCAGAACTAGAAGGAATCGGAGACACGGTGTGTTTGATTTAATTTTAATTAATCTTTGTATTATCTCTCTGCAATGATTCGTGACAATTGAAAGGCAACGTTTAACGCAATGTGTATTCTGCAGCATACGTATACAGCATTCACTGGTAATTTCATGCCGATTTTATTTTACGAAACAAAAAACCGCGTCAAGGTCGATAGCGCGGAAGATCGAGCAACTCACAATGAAAAGTGTACGAAAATCATCCTTTCCAAGGTCCAACGAACGGATGTTACCGAAATCCTTTCCTCTGCGCACGGGCCACGGACACGGGACACCAGAACTTGGCGCGACGCGGCACAAATTAAGTGTTGCACACGCACGTGCACAGAGATGAATTTCCGGGCGTAATGACTCGACGCGATGACGAGTTCTTTTCCGACGAGAGGCACAATTTTTGCGTGTCGGACATGCGTGTATCCATGCGTCGTCACAGTGCTCGCCGTTGTCGTCGTCGCTCCCGCGGCTTCGCTCGCGTTCGCGCCTGTGCACGTAGAAGTTCCTCCGATGACCGAGGACTAATAATAGCCCGACACAGTCACGAGCGAGAGAGTGAACATTATACATCTACGCGACTCTACGTATTAATGTATACCGCTGCACCGCGAGAAAAGCAGACTGAAATACCCAACGAGACTCATCGCGATGACTCTTGAAGCCGCTACGATTGGAACTATAAATCGCGTTCTTCTCGTTTTCGCGTCGCTTACTGCGCTCGACGATGCCGAAACCAAAAATGGTGTTTAATTTACCGGCGTTGTAATTATATTCTTAATCAGTGACAGTGTGTTTTGCGACATGCGTGTTAAAGTAAAATACAAGCTTAATAAATTTTTTTATATTTAGAGAATAAATCAATAAAAAAAATATATTATAAAAAAGAATACGACACTATTTTGATTCACGATAAATTTTAGCGATTTCTATATACTACTTTAATTTTAGTTCTTTTTTGCGTTGCTTTTGTATGGTGTGTATTAATGCGAACTTTACTGTTCATTGAATGAATCTGTTGTTTCTTTACGCTGATATACATTAGTTTTAGTTTACATATTTTATATATAAAAGTTTCTTTGTGCGTTTAATCAGAAATAGACCACAAAAGAATGGCACATTCAAAATAATATCTAATTTCTCTGTTAATAAAATATTATCTGTAATATGAAAAGTATATTAACAAATTAAGCAATATAAAATTAAGAATCTATTTACTTTCATTTTTGCATACGTGCAAAAATTGATATAATGTAATTATCTTACCTTAGTCAACGTTCCGTCTGCGCGATTTGCTCGCACCATTGTTACGCGAAATTTTTGCAACTTTTTTACTTTAGCTTTTAGAAATTCAATAAATTATTTTTCTTATTTATTTTTAAGTTTAATAAATTATTTACGATTAGAGAGAATGTTGGTAACAGCTCAAGTATTTCATATGCCACTCCGTACAATATGCGAGAACTTAAATATCACCAACTCGAGATGCGCGACGCATTACGATCAATGCTTACTGTCTATGCTTGATCTGGTCGATTGATCATCTGGTTGTAAACGTCATTCTTAAATCGCTCGCTTATGTAATTTTTTAATAATTATCGTGATAATTTATTTCGCTTTAGAAACTAATGTCAAATGATATAAAATTAAACAATGCCGTTGGACTTTGACTACTACATTGAAACTGTCGACACTTTTTATAAATCCCGTCAGTTAAAAGTTTTCCGAAAACACAATGAGAAAAGAGTTACCGGGAAAAAAGATTTCTTAAGCACTAGTTACGACAAGCCACGGAGTTGGTGCTGACGCTGTCACGTCGATGACTGGAAATACGACATACATATGTAACATATCGTAATATGCGATTTGCGTGGTAGAGGCAGCCACGCACCGCCTCCACACACCTGCCAAGATGGAATATCGACGAAGATGCCGTTGTAGGGATTAGAGCGACAGAGCTGGCTGTTTATGTTGGTCGTTTGTTCACGCGAACTCATGGAGATTGTCGTAACACCGTTGAGCAAATCTAGACATTCACTTTAATAAACAATGCTTTATATTCTGTGATAAATAATAACATGCATATATAATAAGGAATAAAAATTAAGAACAATTTAAGAACAATTACAAGGCTATATCGCGCAAATTCGAGATAGTAAACGCACAGGTTTCTTTAAAGATAATACAGTAATTCCAAGCGCCTGCTTTACTTCCATCTCCTTCAGCAAATTCATACTCAAAGTATTCAGACACTCGTCGGGATTCACTAAATTTATGCCTCTATGGCTAGTAGCGAAGTAATAGTTTCTTTTTCAATTTAGAATGAATAAATTATAATTTGTAGTATGTGCAGTGTATAAATATAAGATAATAGTTCCTTAAAATAATCAAGTTCCATGTCTACGGATTTGTGTTTCTCATTATACTCGCAGATAACACAGGACAAGGAGTCTCGAGCTGAAGAAAATAATCCAAAGCTTCAAGGCAGCTCGATATGTTTTGTACAGTATCGGCTGTGATGGCATTGTCATTTTCCTCATCTAGAAAGATGGACATAAAATAATATCGTTAGAATGAATAAATTATAATGTGTGGTATAAATAACAAAATAATAATTCTTTAAAACAATACTTCGGTTTTCAAAATTACTATCAAAAATTATAATATCTACAAAAGAGACATATTAAAGGCGCAATTTTATTGAATAAACTAAAATTTAATTTATTTTACAAAAATAAATTTTGTAATTATCGCGTAATTTTGTAACTAATTTTTATTATGATTAAAATATTATTGTAATTGCATAGAATATAAATATTAGATAATTAGTTATTCTATGAGAGATATGCGAGTACGATTTATCTTTTTACACAGAAAGAAATCAATGTATTAATGAAAGAAATTATTGCAAAGTTAAATTATGTACGTATTCGATTACGCGCCTAGGCATGATTTGCAATACAACGAGAACTATTTTATTGTGATAAAGCTATAGTAAATCTTTGTATATTTCAACATAATCACCTATCATTAAGCTCTTTGCGACAGTACACCATTGAATAACAAGACCGGATTTATTCAATTCTTTTGTTTGTTTAATCAATCTCTGCACAGTAAAATTTGCGAAACCATAATTGCATTGATTCTTATTACCCCGGCCAGCTATCATGGACGAAAATACGATAAAGTAATCCAATTTTGAGTAATAATGATCCGGTAGCATATCAAAATTTCTTGTTAACATCACTGCTTTGAAGTCGTCCTCTTCTAAATCTGAGTCGGAGATATCACTGAAATCGGCTGCCAGATTGAATATACCTCCTATTGGAGGTAGTCCCAACTGGCTTTCTTCGCGTAATAACTTTGTGACATCGGATACTGTTTTAGCATTGTCCGTGATAATGACGACATTATTGTTACGCCAGTGTTGCTCGCGCCATTTCTGATAATTGCTGCATGTTTTCGGACA